CAGGGTGAGCCCGTGAGCTCACCCTACACGTCCGCGCGTAGTTAGAATACCCATTTATACATTTTATGTAAAAGTCGTCTTCCAGTGGTCAAAATTCGACCATAATTGATTAAATTTTTTTTTATTGCCTTTGTAGGCAGACGTGCATACGGCCCACCTGATGGTGAGTGGCTACCGTCGCCCATGGACTTCAGCAATGCCAAGGGCAGAGCCAAGCCGCTGCCTACCGCAAGTTTGAGCATTATTATGGTTCTATTGTCAAAGACTATATACTTCTATAATTATTATTGATTGAAGATAATTATAGATTCCGCCAAGGCTACACTATAGATAAATGATATTAAAGACAAAAAATATAAATCTATTCTCAATTTGACCACAGACTTTAACAATAAACAAAAGAGTATATATGCGTGTGTGTGTCAAATACGTGATAGTATGTGTAATGTTTTTTTTACTCATTTAATGTATTTTTTATGCATAATTAAAAAAATATGAATATTCTACAAAGTTTTTGCATCACGTATTAAAATATAGATAAGATTTATTTTTAAAATATATTGAGAAGAAGGCCTCAACGATGTCTCACCGTCAGATAGGCTTTGCTTTTGATGATAATAAAAAACGTATGTCGGTAGGCAGCGGCTTGGCTCTGCCCCTGGCATTGTTGAAGTCCATGGGCGACGGTAACCATTCACCATCAGGCCGTATGCTCGTCTCCCTACAAGGGCAATAAAAAAAACCTCTGATTAACATAATATCAACTTCACTCAGAACTCAGCTTCACATAATCACGATCCTAATACATTCTTTCAAACATAATTCCAACAAACCCGGTACTTTATTAGGGTGAAGTAATTTTTCTACGCACACACATTTCTTGCACAAGATTAAATTATTAATTACGAAGCGCTTTTACAAATTAAAACTGCAATAACTAAGAGACAATATCGCCGAGTGCAGCGGAAGCTGAAACCGGTTCTTGAACACGCAAATGGAATCTTGTAACAAAAAGCGTGTAACATTGACATACATTCGAAACGAGATGCGTCTGCACAAATCTTTATAATTTCTTCTATGCGTGCGTGTGTTTGTCACTGAACTCCTCCTAAACGGCTGGAGCGATTTTAATAATTTTTTGACGTGACAACGTCTTATAATTCGATGGAGCCGGCTGCACGCACGAAAAACATGACTCATGCGGCGTTACCTCGCTCTGAGGCGTTCCATTTAAGGCTTGAAGTGCAAGCGAGAGCGCGCAACGAGCGACAAAGAGGCACAATCGGCCTCCGCGTTCGGCAGCGTTCGACATCTGTCTCTCTCCTACTTGAGTGAGCGATGCATCCGCGTGGACAGCTGCTATATAATAATACATTTAAATGTTTTCATCAAGTATGAAGTTCAGTGAAAAGTGAATGTGGTGTCAATTGTTTATAGCAACGATTGCGATAATTGAAAAATGAAACCATTCCATCAGTATTTTCTTATGACGATGTCACGTTCAACTATCGTCAGTAAACCGACTTTACAGACAACCGATTTTTTTGTATGCGTTTGAATGGCACCCTAGATGGTTTACATTCACAAACCAGCCCGGCAGATGGCGCTGCAGTCGGTATCTAGGTTATTTATCTATACTGCAACTAAGCGACTGGATCGACTTGAATGAATTTTTGTGTATGCACAGGACAACCTCTGTCGGGTCCGTTATTAGATATATACCTATTTTATAGGTTTATCGACTACAGCTACTAGCCACTGGTGATAGGATGGTTAGTGAGTCCGCAAGGTCCGCACCGCCGCCCTACCTATTTCTGCCGTCAAGCAGTAATGCGTTTCGTTTTGAAGGGTGGGGCAGCAGTTTTACTTTAAAACATCATACTTACATTAAGTTTTAATAACGCAATGAAAAAATTGCTCTGTTATCTTGTACCGGTATCAACCAGACAAAAAAAGAATGATAAAGTTAATTTGTTACTATTTAAACGTGTCTTTTTTGTTTGTTTTTAACGCTAGTGTAATACTCCCTGATACGTTGATACTCAATCTCCTGTGCATCCCTTAGATCTCATCCAATCCCATCCTATCCAAGTCCACGGCAAGAGATTTAGTGGTGCTGTTCTATACCGACACCGCACAAACATACATACCTTAATCAAGTGTAAATAAGTACAGTTACAAATTACAAATCAACTACATTTTTGTTGTAATCTATACTAATATTATAAAGAAGAAAGATTTGTTTGTTTGTTTGTATTGAATACGCTCCGAAACTACAGAACCGATTTGATTTTTTTTTTAAGTTTGGAAGCTACACTATTCCTGAGCGACACAGGCTATGATCTTTTTTGAAAAAAAAAATAGCGATCCTTACTAAAACTCCAATAATGTATCCCAAGGTATAAAAAAATACCTAAAATATTCTTTACATCGCGTGCCCTGCGAAAACTATTAATGATAGAATAAAATAATGCACTACGACTTTGTAGAACACATTATTATTTACAAAAAGTGTCGCGACAGCATATCTCTAACTATTATAGTTATGCCGCAATAAGTGTTCTTTTAATTACAAAATAAAACAACGTCAAATATGATTGAAATATTTGTTGACCCGAGCGGAGCCGGAGTGGGCCGCTAGTGATTCATAAAACTGTTATATTCTCGAGCGACCAAGCGCGATGGGCGCGCTTCGAACAGATATTCACTCGTGTTTAAAAATCGCCACTGTCATAAGGTCATTGGGTTACGTTTTCACTGACTAAGCCCGCGCGCACATTACACGTTTTTTGCCTGTCCGGTACGTTTCTCCAAATCGGTCGAGTATTTTTATCGGTAGCTTCCGGAACTAAAGAATCATAACGCTAACCCACCTCGAGACTGGATTTCGAAGTATCCGTTTTAATAGACAACGGCCTTTTAATGAGGTTGGAAAGAGAGTTTTAATTATGAATTTGGAAGGCTTTAGAGGAAGAGGTAGAGGTTAGTTTTGAAGTCGTCGTGGCCTAACGGATAAGACGTCCGGTGCATTCGTGTTGAAGCGATGCACCGGTGTTCAAATCCCGCAGGCGCGTACCAATTTTTCTAATGAAATACGTACTCAACAAATGTTCACGATTGATTTCCACGGTGAAGGAATAACATCGTGTAATAAAAATGAAACCCGCAAAATTATAATTGCGTAATTACTGGTGGTAGGTCCTCTTGTGAGTTTGCACGGGTAGGTACCACCACCCTGCCTATTTCTGCCGTGAAGCAGTATGCGTTTCGGTTTGAAGGATGGGGCAGCCGTTGTAACTATAATTGAGACCTTAGAACTTATAAAAAAAAAGACCGAAGAAGAAATGAATCGATTACGTGACAGACGATATTATTATGTGTAAGAGTGAGCGAAGAAATGGTATATGATAGAGTATGGTAGGAGAAAAAATGTTGCACCGACCCCAAGTGACTGGGAGAAGGACAGGAGTATTATGATGGTTGTACCGCCTTCGAAACCGGAAAGCATGGTTACTTCGTGGAAGCAATAAACCAGACGACAATATGAATTTCGAGTCGTCAAAATTCGACCAACTTGCAAATCTCTACTATTACTCTAGACTCTAGATACATGCGCAGTACTTTCTGGTATGCGACAGATATTTACCGGTCACAATTTTCGGACAGTATGCGCCCGAGATAATACAAACGGTGGTTTATTGTGCGGAGTGGTTTATCATTTTCATGTTTACTAAGTCTACTAAGCTCTTAATCAGTTCCTCGCCAGCCCGATGATGATGGAGAATGATGAAGGACGTAGCTTCAAATCCTGGCGGAGTCAGTGTTAGCGCTCCACTGCATGGAGGGGCTATCCTCATCCGCACATCCAGACGGTACTGGTGGTAGTTTGCACCGGTTGGTACCTGTATCTCGGTTGTGGCTACCGTGGGATAGATTTCGTTATTGCCATCGTAGGCACTTACAATATACCCTACCATTATTCGATTTTATGGGTTAATTTTTTTATTAATATTATAACTATGTGTTTCATTAGAAAAAAATGTACTACATATTTGCGAGATTTGAATTGTGGATTGGGAGAGGCGTATGACCCGCAGTGGACGACTTTGGGCTGATGATGATGATGATGATGATGATGATAGTCGCACCTTTCGATAAGAGTACACCGAGTATTTAAATTTTTTTAACAGACTTTAAAAAAAGAAGTTGTTCTCAATTGCACTGTATTGATTATTATATGTTATAGTATTTTAATATGTTACCTCGGAATTTCTTTCTAAGTGAACCGATTCTGATAATTTTTTATTTACTTATTTAAGAACCGATGCTTCTCATATAGACCTATTTAAATTTTATCAAGATCTAATGACCAATATGCATTCAGTTCTTCTCGGTAACGCATATTTAATCGACTTGGTCGAAATCGATTGACGTATACTCATTTAATTTTGATGTATTCGCTTTCCTTTTTAATACGCTTTTATTAGCTTCAGACGTATGTATGTTTGTAACGGAATCTTTGAACATGATTTTGACCCCCTTCAAAACGCCGGATTAACTCGAAATTTGGTGTACTTATTAAGGACCGACGATAATTCAATATTTAAAAAAAATAATTGAAAAAGTTGAAATACTATACAAGCCAGGTTAAGAGACACCTTTTGGCAGAAATACCGCTACGTGCAATCAAGAATTTTCCCGTTCAGAAAATTTGGGTACCTCTGTGACCTTTTGTGCGGAAACATTCGCATACAGAACCAACTGTGTTAAGTTTATAGTATGTCGCTTGTGTATTTCTTTATTTTATGTGATTCTCGACAACGTAAAAGACGAAAATGAGGCTTACTTAAACTACAATTGCCAAAGAAGAACCTAACGGAATTAATACAATAAAGAGACATTGGAATGGTGACCATGGTTTGCCTTTAAGCCCATAATTTGTCGTTATTTTTTGACAAAAAAAAAGCGATAGTCCACCGGTTTACATACTAACCTTTCAGATTGACGAAGCGTGGATCGAAGGACCTCGTGGTGTCTGGGAAGGTACCCGCGTGGCGCAGTGGACGCGGATTCGAACTAGGCTAGGACTTACTCAACTGCAGCATTCTCTGGATGAACTGGCGCCGACCGGGACGTACACCATCAGAGCTAGACTCGCTGATGGGTCACAGGTGGGTCCATTAGGTTCTATAACTAGTGGTCCCCCGGTAGTCGAAATTCGACTATAATTAATTGAAATTATAAGTTTGTGCATTATTAAGATTCTATTGTCAAAGACTATTATACTTCTATAATGACGGATTTCGCGAAGACTACCTACACTTTAGACAAATATTAATAAAGACAAACCATATTTAATCTATTCTCAATTTGACCACAGACTATAAGCAATAAGAAAAGATTGACAATAAACAAATAGTATGCATGCATGTTTGTGACAAATACATGGTAGTGTGTGTAATGTTTTTATTTATTGTTTATGCATAATTTTAAGAAATAATAACATTCTGCACTCCTTCTTTATATTCTCTATAAGTGTGGAAAATTTCATACTCACAATTTTCGTAAAAAGGGTTACAAAGTTTTTGCTTCACGTATTAATATATCGATGACCGCACAGATAGGTACCGCTAAACTGTCCATTTCTTTAAATAAATGCTTAGATGGGTGGAAGAGCTCACAGTCCACCTGGTGTTAAGTGGTTACTGGAGCCCATAGACATCTACAACGTAGACGCGCCACCCACCTTGAGATACAAGTTCTAAAGTCTCAGTATAGTTACAACGGTTGCTCCGTCCTTCAAACCGAAACGCATTACTGCTTCACGGCAGAAATAGGCAGGGTGGTGGTACCTACCCGTGCGAACTCACAAGAGGTCCTACCACCAGTAAGAAGTATTAACCATTTCATTACACGTTTTAAGGGTGATCACGGCAGATGGCTTGAGCTCGTCTACCGAAGTAAATCAATTGGGACATACTAACACAACGCTTCGTAAATGATCAGTACATTGGTTGCAGGGTTCAACTTCATTTTGGGTCGGCCATTACGATCTGCCCCCATTCCAGCTGACGGTTCGCCACGCACCTCGGGTCTTGCGTACCAGCGAGCGCCTTGTCTGGGTCGTTTGCGTGAGGTAACACCATATAGAAGCCTTGACGTTGAAATAAAAAAAAAAGTGTGGTGTCGTGGGACACCGGATAGAAACGAAGTTCCTTGTTATAAAAATATTAATTTTAAGTTCTATTCGAGGTATAAAGAAAATAAAACTGGAGGCTTCGCAACAACCCACGGTCATTCGGTAACGTGCGAACTTATTGTGGTACACTTCATTCACGGTTGTTTGCATAAGGGTTAGTGTATTGCGCAAACGAACGCTCTGAGATCGTGGTCAATGAATGATAAAAAATATGTTATTTTTTGTACGTTATTACAAAGTTAAGTCGTACACTGTGTGCATTACTAATAAAAATCTTATGTTATGGACGTTTTTTCCCGGTTAGGGTACCCATCCGCATCGTCCCATAAGGAACTTAGTTCCAAAAGCATGCAATGGCTAGAAGTCTTTAAATTCTCCGACCTACCTAGGTACCCGTGGTCTGAAGCTGTGGAAGGCATGCTGGTGATCCGCCTGCGAGGAGCCGGTAACGCTGAGAGCAGTCCCGGGATCAGAACGGCGGTGAGGCTGCGAGCCCCGCGCGCGTGCCACCGCCACGCCGCCGCCGCCAAGAGGGTCGGGCTCGGCGGGGAACATTCCCCCGACGTGCTTGTAGCCGACTTCTCCTTCCAAGTAAACTACTATTTCTCCTGCACCGCTTTATATATCTCTTTCACTGGTACTTTTTAACGGGAACGCGAGGAGTGAAGTAGTGTGAATAAAAAATTTGAAAATAATCAGAAAAAAGTTTGTTGTAACTAAATTATGTGTATTATCTATGGTTTGGTGTGGCCTAAAGTTTAAAAAACGTTTTGGCGGGAACGCGAGGAGTGAAGTTGTGTGATTTGTTTTATTTTGTCTATTTAGTGTTTCTTCAGGTTTAAATGTGTAATAATGGTGGTTAACTCTCTAATATCTGTGAAAGTGCACAAATGTGGGAAAATGAAACAAAGCCGCTGGACGTAACTTCTCGGGATCCTCCAAAAAGTCCAATGAAAAAATCTCTATGAATGAATATAAATTAAAATAAGACTTGACCTAAAGGTGTTAGTTACCAGGTCACAAAATACCTTAAAAAAATAGCTTTCACTTAAATAAATAGTAAATATATTATGTACATTTCACAGGAAGAAGGTACTAGAGTTTGGCAGAACACCACCGTGGTCTCTCAAGTCGTGGACAAGCCAATATCTCTGGAGTTCTTGACGAAGCACCGCGCTGTAATATCGCCCGGTCTCCCTTACAAGTTAAAGGTAACGAATTGTTTTAAATGACGTCAATAAGGCGTGGCTCTTTGTCGCATGGTCTTAATGGGGAATCTGCTCACACGCCTACCTATTTCTGGGGGAGGGGGTCAGCCGTTGTACCATAGAACTGAGACTCTAGAGCTCATCTCTCAAGGTTGATGGCAGTCTACGTTGTAAATGTCTATGGACTTCGGTAACCTAATACCGGGTGGGCAATTAGTTCGTTCTCACGTATAAGTTATAAAAAAAGTCCAATTTAATCCAATTCCAATCAAAAGTCCAATTCAAATCCAATTAAAAGTCCAATTTTATCAATATTAGGATCATGGCACAAAATAGTCGAGTGTTGCACATTTATTGTTCTCTTTCAAAATCTTCTCTGTTATTATAATAATAATAAAAAAATTACATGTGTGCAATTCACACGTGGTAGAAGTGAAACCCTCCAAAATTAAAATACAATTATCCTAAACGTCTTAAGTATATGTAAAATTTTGTCATTAGTAAATAATTATAAGGTAGCGCCCTCTGTGAATTGATATTTTAATTTCACGTATAATCCTAAATTAAAATTCACTACAAGAGCTTTCATACACACGTTAGTATTAAAAAATCTCACAGATGGCGCTGTATTAAATAGTATNACCTCGCGCTCGCACCTACAGCGGGCTCTCAATGTGTCTGGCAAGATGTAAGAACCATTAAAACTGTCCGGCTATTGGGGTAACATATTTTTATAAGTCCCTAAGTAACATATATAAAATTTAGCTTTTATAGTATAACGAAAGTATAATTAAAATTTATTAAAGTTTAGGGGTGTCTGGCAGGGGGTAACAACTGGAAAAAGTGTCCGGCAACGGATTTCATGATTTCTAAAGATATTCTGGAGTAAATATTAAAAAAAAAAACCTTTATACTTTAACGAATTTAAGGTACTATTTTATATACCTTTACTGCCTGTTACCTGCCCAAGTAACCACAATCGAAACTATAATCGGGGGTCGTTCTTACCTGTGTTGGAGACATACACAGAGAAACTTTCAGCTTTTATAAAATAAGGAAGGTCTGGCTGTCGCGGGCTCTTGGGCTATAATACAGTTAGAAGCAGAACTAATACAACTACTTCTACAAGCTCATCTCTCAAGGTTGATGGCGGTCTACCTTGTAGATGTCTATGGACTCCGGTAACCTAATACCGGGTGGACGCTAAGTTCGTTCTCACGTATAAGCTACATAAATAAAAGTCCAATTTAATCTGCTTATCAATCTAGAATTAAGATCGTGGCACATATTTTTTACGCCTTGCTCGTTTAATCCACTTTGCCATCTACTTTTTTCTGACGTCCTTTTTTGTCTTTCTTACCGATTTCTCTCACACACATATTAACGCTCCGTTCCACACAGCTAACGATCCAGAATTGGGTGGTTGTATAAGACTAGGGTATTTTTAAGGCAAATGCCAGACGGTCGCCTGATACCCAGTGGTTACCGAATCCTTTGGTCTTTTCTTAATCACCACCGAGAATGCCTTTATGTCCCCCAGTGTATGCATTAAGTGAAATAGTTTAATAATAATATGTAAATTAGAACCGTTCCCTTCGCCTAAATGAAAAGTAAAATAGCCCCAAACATTAAGCCAAGCCAATATTCTAAAAATATGGCTATGGTAATTTAACACGTTGGCTGTCATGTAGGTCACTTTTCATACGTTCCTTTCTTACCAATCCTACATCAAACTATTATTCTATTCTTTTCTTTTTATTGAATAGCTATCGATTAACTTTATTAGTGCTATCAACAAGAAAATATAGGAGTGATTTTTCGTAAAATGAGTCATGAAGTGGACAGTGATGTCGCTGAGCAGGTGAGGGCCGTGCAGTGGGACGACAAGCCGGCGCGCGGCGAGCGGGTGTCGGCGTGCCGCGGGCCCGGCGCCGCGCCCAGCTGCGTCAGCGCGCTCACCGACGACTCCGGCGTGGCCAGCCTCATGTTCCCCGTCGGAGACCCCAGCCCCTACTACAGGTTCGAGGTGAGCGCTCTCAGCCCCTACAAACAAATGACTACGTTCAGAAAAAAACAAAAGAGAATCGAAGATTTTTTTCTTTATTAATATTACAAATATTATCAATATTGTCGTCCATAATTATTATAAAATATATTTTTTTTGTGTATCTCAAGAATGTGGACAAGATAGGACTATCATAACAAATTACATTATTATTTTAGCAACGTTTCGGTCTTTTATTAGACCTTCATCAGGCATCTGAAAATTACACATAATTGATAACCTACAATACAAAAAACAACAATTGTCGAAACTACCATATTTACCATAATATGAATTTAAATAATCCCTATCTTACACTGCACAATTGTCACAGACATCAGAGACTAATACAAATCTACAAAGCCGCTAATATTACAAATATGTATCTGAGCTATCCCTGCCAGTATTTTTTTTTCTTACCAAGGAGTATGTCGTTCTCACTACTTTTTGATCCCTCCTCGTATCAGTTCACTTTGAACCTTCAGTTTTTAGAATTAAAACTGAACACCCTGTATAAGGCTATGCGATGCGACTCCCCAGGCCTCACTGTCGCGGGACCCGAACATAACGGCGGAGCCGCTGGTGCTGCCGGTGCGGGGGGCCGCGCTGCCCCAGGCCGAGCTGGGCCCGCTGCGAGCCGAGCCCGCGTCCAGCAGGACGTTCGTGCCGCTCTACCTCCACCTGCCCTCCGTTAACTACGCCATCACTGTGCACTTTGTCGTGAGTAAAACCAGATTAAACCGATTTATAACTAAACTAACGACCCGCCTCCGCTTCGCTTCGGAACATTAAATTTTATTATTGATAGCTGTGTCCCGCGTTGTTACCCGCGGCTATTGTCGTACCGCGGGTGAACCGCGGGGCGAATCTAGTCTAAAAAAAGTAGCCTAAGTTACTCCTTATATCATCAGCTACCTGTCAGCGAAAGTCCCGTCAAAATCGGTTCAGCCGTTCCAGAGATTAGCCGGAACAAACAAACAGACAGACAGACAGACAAAAATTGTAAAAAATGCTATTTTGGTGTATGTACCGTATAGATATTCATATGCATGTAGTAAAAAGAGGCTGTTTCAATATTACAGACACTCCAATTTTATTTATATGTATAGATTATACTGGTAGAGAATAACTTAAAGGACGCAACAGTCATCCTATCCGGTTACAGCGCCACCTGCTGAATTCACTTTTTTTAGCTTAAATGGGTGGATGAGCTCACGGCCCACCTGGTGTTAAGTGGAGCCCATAGACATGATCTCACTTTTAACAGTACAACGGCTGTCCCGCCCTTCAAACCGAAATGCATTATTGCTTCACGCCAGAAATAGGTAGATACCCACCCCTGCGGACTCACAAAACGTCCTACCTCCAGTAAAGTTATAAATCACTTATAAATCTTTCCACTCAAACACAAGGTTTCGTGAAAATCAGTCAAACCAATATCAATAACATAAAAAACCATATCTCGAGATAAAAGTCCTACAATCATCTTATAGCATCGTGGCTGTGCCGTCCTCTCGTGAGATTACTGGACTTAAGTAGGACGGATATCTTAAACATAAGTGCCATTGATGGGTGATTTTGAACTCAGCACTCTCTGCGTTCATCACAAACTTATCTGTTCCAGGTAATCACAAGAGGAGGGATAATATACCGATGGGGCGCCACCACCCAATGTCCCGTATCGAACTCGATAGATCAAATACAAACCGCTTCCAGAAACACACAATGCCCTAACTACCTAACTCGAGAGAATTACAGTCGCACACTTCGTAACTTATACAACACTCTAAACACCCAATTCAGTTCTCAACGTAACTCACACAGCACTCAAAGTAACTCACAAAGCACTCAAAGTAACTCATTCAGTCCTCAACGTAGCTCGTCAACTCGTAATGACTCACTAACTCAGGACGTGTCGGACGCGCTCCTGGATCGACACCTGCTCAGGATCATGCTTCCGATCAAAATAAGTCACCAAATGTGCCCGGACAGCCATCTGGTAGCTTACTTCTACTACAACGGGGAGCTGGTCAGCGCCAGCAAGCACTTCGAGATGGAGGAGTGCTTCGGGAACAAAGTAAGAGAAAGTCATATGGCTACTTCTTTGAGTCACTCATTTGTTCTAGATAATCGTCTATGGAGAAAGCTATGCTTGGAGTTTCTCTGAAAGATCGAATCCGGAACGAGGTGATCCGACAGAGAACCAAAGCTATAGACATAGCACAGCGAATTAGTAAGCTGAAGTGGCAATGGGCTGGCCATATTAGCCGGACAACCGATAACCGTTGTGGGGTAAACGCGTTCTTGGATGGAGACCGCGAATTGGAAAACGCAGTGCAGAACGCCTTCAGGCTCGCTGGAGTGATCGTGCAGGGTGGCTGGCGGGAACTGGATGAGAGAAACCGAGGGTCGTGCCCAGTGGCGAGCAATTGGACAGACATATGTCCAGCAGTGGACTGCTATAGGCTGATGATGTATGTATGTATATAATCGTCTCGGGTTGGGATTATCTTCGCAATCCGCGAACCGCATACATGATTAAAACTAATTCTATTGTTGAATATCCCTTTTTTTTACATAAGAAACATCTTTTATTTATATAGCTTCACGTAAAATCGGTTGCTGCCGTGGTGACGCGTCCCCGCGCTGTATAGTATAAACGAATGTTTACAGTCTACATGTAGTAGTGTGTATGGTGTGGCGACGCGTCGCCATGCGCATGCGCAACTGTTTCTTATTATTGTTACGCGCTGGGAGTCGGGATAAATTTCTACCGAAGTACAGATTGATACTGTATTAAACACTTAGAACACTCACAGAACACTTTACAATTCGTAAATCGTTTCTTCCGCTTCGCTTCAGGTGATTTGTTTGCTATTTCTGCCTTAGTGAAATCCCTGCAACGCTTTTTATAGTCGATACGACTCCCTAGAAATATTGAGAACATTCGTCATAAGTCGAGTATTTTCGATATGCGTTTCTGCTATTCAACGACAGATGGCGTTGCTCTTACCGGCGCAACAATATGAATATTTTACTTTTTCATTACGCCACATGAATTTCCTGTAGTAAACTATTTTAAGCGTCTATACCTGTACAAAAAAAATACATGTGTGCAATTCACACGTGGTAGAAGTGAATCCTTCAAAAATTAAAATACAATTATCCTAAATGTCTAAGTATATGTAAAATTTTGTTGTTTGTTTTAAAATTAGTAAATAATTGTAAATCATCTTTTATAGTATGAGAGGTAACGCCCTCTGTGAATTGATATTTTAACTTCACGTATAATCCTAAATTAAAATTCACTACAAGAGGTTTCATACACCACACGTTAGTATTAAAAAATCTCATAGATGGCGCTGTATTAAAAAAACACTACGGACTTATTTTTTCGTTTCATCGAGTTTGAAATCACAACGATTCTAAAGAAGTTTCACTTTAATAATATCAATGTTTCACGACTACCAGCCTTCCCGCGATGCCCCTGGCGTTGCTGACGTACATGGGCGACGTAACCACTCGCCATCAGGTGGGCTAGTCTATCTAAAAGGACAATAAATTCTTTAAAAAAGCACGTCGTTTAATTTGGGCCAGGCCGAAGCAACGTGGCTGACGCGGCAAGTCTTGCCCGGCTCCACGGCGTCGCTGCGGGTGGAAACGCCCGGCCCGGCCCTCTGCGCCCTCTCGGTCCTCGACGCGGCCGCCAAGGGCCCCACACCCGCGCCCTCCGTGAGGGACGTTCTCGTCTCGGAGCTGACCACACTAATCAACGGCCATCGGAACCTGACGGAGTACGACGCGTCCGGAGACTGCTTTTTAAGTAAGTATTAACTTTATAGTTCGAATGGACGTAATTGTCTTTTTTTCCCTACCTATTCTAGTAACCTCGAGGGATTATTCTAGATTCATCGAACTAGTAAGTGAGCTCGCGGGGTCCGAACAGGGAGTGTTACTAACACTGGCCCTAGCAAGAGCAGTGCTTCGCTGAATCTACCACCGGATCGGAAACGCGACCCACTGAGAAGATCCGGCGAGAAACTCAGTGGGCTGTGTCTGTGGGTTAATTTACTCATCGAGGCCTTCGTTGCAAGCGACGGCTTCCGCGAGGACGGTGACGGGTGCTTGAGGTACCTAAGAGCACCGTTGATGGATCGGGAGGATCCGTAATGACGTGTTTAGGGCGACGTCGACTCTTTACCATTCGGTCCATAGGATCGGGTATGTAATTTCGGGCGGCCACGACAAGTGGGTTTTCGTGGTGCCGCCTCAAAATGGCGCAATGATGCCGACTGTAGATACTTACTGACTGAGTCAAGCTCCAGGTTATCATGGAGATCCACGTTCCTTAGGAACCATGGTGCTCCGACGGCTATCCTGCAAAAACGGGATTGAATGACTTGAAGAGGTTTCAAGTTGGTGCGGGCGGCGTGAGCGAACAGTACGCTTGCATACGTCATGACGGAGCGTATGCAAGTTTTATAGAGTGTCACCTTATTACGAAGGGGAAATTTACTTCGCTTCGAAATTGTCAATTTAATACCTTAAAACTGATAAACCTTTAATAGGAATACCGTGACTAGAGTGATATATATATATATATATATGTGTATTTATTATTTAAGAGAAATTCTAATATCAGATGCACTAGTTTTTGCTGTCATAAATAAGTGAACAAGTAACTAGAGCCCATGGACATCACATCGTGAATACCACCGCTCAGTTAAGTTGAGTTAAGAACTCAATCGTATCATAAGTAATAGAATAGAAATCATAATGCCAATTTGGGTAAATCTCAAAATTTCTATATTAATCAATTCCTTTTTTAACTCCAAGACGTGGACACCCCCGACCTCCCTGCCTCCAGCGCGGAGCTGGCGGCCGCGTGGCTGGCGGGGGCCGGGGTGAGGGTGGTGGGGGGCGCCCTCCCCGCGACCCGCCACTGCGCGCCCGCTCCCCTACCCCTCACCAACATGGACGACGGGACCAAACTCAGAAGCGACTTCTCTGAGGTAACTTTAGCTGTATTAACATGTCCTTCTTCAAAAAAGGCTTGTGGAGATTATTAAGCGGTAGGCAGCGGCTTGGCTCTGTCGTCATAAGACGCTAATGTTCGTCTTTCAAATTACAAAGACCAAAACGAGCTTTATACAGCCTTAATAATTACATACAGGGTGCAATTTTTTTTTTATCGAGGTATTGCTTATTGCCTTCGTAAAGCACGACATAGAATATAGTTCACATTTATTACTTTAGGTAGCCCTTGTAGGTAGACGAGCACACGGCCCACCTGATGGTGAGTGGTTACCGTTGCCCATGGACTTCAGCAATGCCAGGGGCAGAGCCAAGCCGCTGCCTAGTTAGACGTGGATTCCAATCACCAACATCAGGGCATACAAGTCATAATATGTAACTAGTTGTTCTTTGGGTAGTACCGTGGCTCGTAAGGAGTAGTCGGGGATCCATTGAGGTAGCGTTGGGGACATTTTGAAATATTCAGGCTTGGCTGTGGCGTCTATTGTCGGTCGGTCCCAACGGCACAGCGACAGCGAACGCCCGAGCACCAGACTCCATTACCAGGTTCGAAGCCAGCGCGTTCTGCGTCTCCAAAACTGGAGTCGCCATATCTCCGCCCGCCGTGTTGCAGGTGAGAATCATTCATTCATTCATTCATTCAATCATTCATTGTTATCATCTACGTACCAACAAATAAACCTGAATATTTCTTTTAAGTTCCATTTGCTACAGGTTTCCATACTTATTTAATCAGCAGACACAACATATTTCTAGAATTCCCCTAATATACTGGTGGTAAGACCTCTTGTGAGTCCGCACGGGTAGGTACCACCGCCCCGCCTATTTCTGCCGTGAAGCAGTAATGCGTTTCGGTTTGAAGGGCGGGGCAGCCGTTGTGACTATACTGAGACCTTAGAACTATATCTCAAGGTGTGTGGCGCATTTACGTTGTAGATGTCTATGGGCTCCAGTAACCACTTAACACCAGGTGGGCTGTGAGCTCGTCCACACATCTATGCAATAAATAAAAAATAAAAAATATATATCTGTATATGCTATTTCCTCCGAACTAGTTATTTGGGGAGTCGTCTGTGAAGAAAAAACAAGTTACCTAATTATATATTTGATTTATACAATGAAATGTGTAATCAATAACTTATTTTCTATTAACATTTAGTTACATTTAATTTGGAAGTCATATTTTAAGACATTGTTGGTTGCATCGCATGGGATAGGCAGATTTGGTAGGCAGCGGCTTGGCTCTGCCCTTGGCATTGCTGAAGTCCATGGGCGACGGTAACCACTCACCATCAGGTGGGCCGTATGCTCGTCTGCCTACAAAGGCAATAAAAAAAAAAAAGGATAGCATCCCATCTTTTTCAAATGAGTATTGGAGGGACAATTAAGAAATTCATCAGAGACACGGACATAAGTCTTTTTTGGTTCGTGAAGCAGTAAACTGCGATCGCAAGCCGATTGTAGGATGTATTAAGTACAGGCTCAAATGACCACCACGGGTTGTTATGCGAAGTAGTGTTCCAGTTTCTCACTGGTGGTAGGACCTCTTGGGAGTTCGCACGGGTAGGTACCACCACCCCGCCTATTTCCGCCGTGAAGCAGGAATGCGTTTCGGTTCGAAGGGTGGGGTAGCCGTTGTAACTATACTGAGAACTTAGAACTTATATCTCAAGGTGGGTGGCGCATTTACGTTGTAGATATCTATGGGCTACAGTAACCATTTAACATCAGGTGGGCTGTGAGCTCGTCCACCCATCTAAGCAATAAAAAAAAATAAAAAAGAAGATAGCCAAAAGCTTGGACCTAACCCATAGACACAGCCTGTTGAGTTTCTCGCCGGATCTTCTCAGTGGGTCGCGGTTCAGATCCGGTGGTAGATTCTGTGAAGCACTGCTCTTGCTAGGGCCAGTGTTAGCAACGTCTCCAGGCTAGATTCCCGAGAGCTCACCTACTCGTTAGGTAACGCTGGCATAGCCTTTAACGGCTACCAGCTTAGGTAAGGAAAAAATTAAAATAAAAACCGGCAGAAATAGATATTTAAGACTTGGTTTACTGGTGGTAGGACCTCTTGTGAGTCCGCGCGGGTAGATACCACCACCTTGCCTATTTCTAACGCGAAGCAGTAATGCGTTTCGGTTTGAAGGGGCAGCCGTTGTAACTATACTGAGATCTTAGAACTTATATCTCAAGGTGGTTGGCGCACTTACGTTGTAAATGTCTATGGGCTCCAGTAACCACTTAACATCAAGTGAGTTTTGAGCTCGTCTACCCATCTAAGCAATAAAATAAAAAAGCGAGTTCTTCATTTTATATTTAAAATAATTAAATAGGAAAATAGATTATTAACGAACATAGCAATAGTATTCATTTTAAAAAATGTGGCCATTTAGCGCAGAATTAAATACTTAAATTTTTATTATTAAAAAAAAGCATACACATATGTGCCGATGTCCCTGAAGAGGTTAAACACCTGTCTATGTTAGTTTCACGTTAGTTAGACGTGGATCCACCCATCTAAGCTATAAAAAAAACTTGGACATTATGTCTTCATCCAAAAACGAGCCAAGCGTTGGTCGCGAACACGTCGTCCCTTCTAGAACGTTCTGACCCGGCCGGTCACCATCGCCAGGTGTTCCGAGAGCTGTTCATCCACGCGGACTGCCCGCGGCGGCTGCGGCGCGGTGACGTCACCTTCATGAGATACCGGATATTCAACTACTTGTACGAACAAATCAGTGTAAGTGCAACTAACTTAGAACTCACCGGCACTCTTCATTTTCGGGTCTGTGACAAACGCTGAAGACTGGAAATCAGCCCAGGATTTGGTGATAGAGTAAATATATAAATAAATAAATATTTACTAACAATCACGCCACGTTAACTCGTCCCGTGATAAGTTCGTAAAGAACTTGTGTTACAGATACCAGATAATGGAAATAAATGTAAGATTTTTGTTGTATGCATACATATTATATTTAATATAATATAACATCCATAACCCTGGAAAAGACATTTTATATTTATCATACAAATATCTTCCATTGGCGGGATTCGAACCCGCGACCCCCTTGTGTAGTGGCCATGTCACTTACCACTACACCAGACAGCCGTCAAGCATTAGACATGAGATCGAAGTTTAAGAAACAGACTTGTTCTGCTTTTATTCACTAGTACTGCTGCTACGATATTTTCTTAATAACCACTGAGAATGCTTTTAAATTCCCCACTGTATGTGAGTCGACTATTATCAAAGCCGGCAATCTGACTTTTGGACAATTATTGGTAAATCAGAAAAACGAATTATTGACTTTGTATTCCATTGGCAGTCACAAAATTCTTCTGAACGACATCTTAGATAAATAACAGGTTAACTATTAACCTTTATTTAATGCAGGTTTTGAACCGTATTCTTTGAAGGAGACGATTATATTCAAATCAATCTGTATTGACATATCAATAACATTTTTTTGTCCAAATGCACAGATTGCCACCTTTGATAATAGACGACTCATGTATGAAGTGAAATAAAATAATAATAATATGTCTATTTTATGTATTAGTAAAGAAAACGAATGTTTTTGAACCGTTCGTATGTCTAATTCTTTGAGTCGGTCTACAATCTAAAATTTAATGAAGGATTCATCATAATGAAGTGAGCCATAATATGGCTCATATTATGAGGTATCATTAGGTTTGTTAAAATTGAATGACATATAACTAGTCAGGTCATAAGTATTGTCACACAGTAAAAACTTTTCTTTTAGAATGCTGGCCACAAAAAAGTTTATTGAATTCGAATTTTGAATTGTTCATGAAAATAAAAATGTATACTTTTAGAATTTTACTCATTTTTAAATATGGAGTGGACGCTTAAAGAAGACCGTGTTGCAGTTATTGCGTTGCATCGTTGTGGTTACGCGCCAATTCAAATTTTTAACACACTGAAAAATTTGAATAAAACCAAAAGATTCGTCTATCGTACCATCAAACGATACAATGAAGACTCTAGTGTAGATGACAGGTCAAGAAGTGGTCGCCCTCGGTCTGTTAGGACTCCAGCAGTTATAAAAGCTGTGAAGGCGCGAATTCAAAGAAATCCCAAACGTAAGCAGAAACTGTTGGCCCTTCAGATGGGGTTAAGCAGAACCACGGTGAAAAGGGTGTTAAATGAAGACTTAGGGCTTCGGGCATATCGAAGAAAAACAGGACATCGTTTGAATGCTCGTCTAATGGACNACCCCAAGATTAAATTATTACAATTATTAACCTATATGTTTTGTTGATGTTCTAATAAATATATAAATAAATACATATGTTGATTTTAATAATTTAATAGCATTATGACGCAGAGTAAGTAATGTTTTTGCACGTGAGTGTACCATGCGCAAACTTACCCCCACTACGTCAACAAATGCTCAAGAAGTTTGCCGGTTATTATACCAATATGTAGGCGTATATTAGCGTTCCACAACTATTTTACTTGCCGCGTTACCTACGAGCATCCGTCGGCGCGCTGCTTACTAACGAATCCCTCTGCGTTTCGTTAATGCAAATGATTGTATCACAAAGATCCTTTACAAATAAAACTCTTTTCAAAATACATAAGTTTTTATTAGTATTTTTACATAAATATTTTAAAATAATATAAATTAATTGTAATTCATCACATATGTAATTTTATTTGAACATTCACAATTTAAAAACAGTTACTTTTTTTAATCACTTTCTGAATTCGACATTTTAAAAGAAAAAACACAAACACAAAAATTCCAAAGCACAACCGAACAAAATCGGTAGGTTATAAAATGCTCTACGCGTGGTAGTTTTGACAGCTCACTGACATTTCTAAAATAATACAGGAACACTACAGACAACAGTCTCCATACAAAACACAGTACGACCCATTATTTTAGCCCTCCCATCCGTTAGTAGCAAGTCATCAGTAATTTTAAAAACGAGTCGTTTTTATAGGAACTATTTTGTCCTACGATTCGTAGATATTGTACCGGATCGTAATATAAAACGATTCGTTTTTTGGATATTGGAACCGGGCGTTAGTCGGTCGGTTGACGGCAGAGTCAGAAGAAGGTGATTAAATAATTGAGTAGGCGCTTTCAAAGGCAGATAAGCAATGAATAAAATCTAATCAAATCTTAGCTGTATATTTTTTTTTATTTTTGGTGTTAATGCACTGTCGATTGCACCTATAATTGAGGTGACATCTGCCATGAACTTTTGTCAATTGTTCAATGTTTTGTATTGATGATCACTTTGTTGGTGCAACTTAATAAATAAATAAATACCAGAGGATCATAATCATCAACATCCAATTCTGAAAACATGAGAGGTGAGGTTGAGGTTTAACAAACAGACCTGTTCTGTGTTTATCCACTAGTACTGCTGCTACGATATTTTCTTAATAACCACTGAGAATGCTTTTTAAATTCCCTATTGCATGTATGAAGTGAAATAAAATAATAATAATAAATATGTATATTTTATGTATTAGTAAAGAAAACGAATGTTTTTGAACCGTTTGTGTCTAATTCTTTGAGTCGGTCTACAATCTAAAATTTTATGAAGGATATAATACGGCTCATATTATGAGGTATCATTAGGTTTGTTAAAATTGTGACATATAGTATATCATTTTTATATGGTGTCCATGAAGAAAAAATCAAAAATTATCGATTGACAAGAACAAATTGGACCCGAGCTCATTGAAATACTAATTAATATGACTATAGGTTAGTATAGGATGCGCAGAAACGGGCAAAGAAATGAAACATATAGGTTAATTTTGAACCAATTCTCATTGGGTTTATTTAATATTGTATTGATATATTTTATAACTTTTTTTTATCGCAATAACCGGCGGTCTTTTGAAGTTCACTGCCGTTGGAGCTTAAAATACTGGCACAGTTATCGTGCATTGAACCGACCACATATTGACCCCAAACAGATTGAAATAGCCATAACAGCAGACCTTAATATCGAGGTGTCTCCGAAAACGGAGACGGCTTGCGTCGCGGCGCGCTCGTCGTTCGCCGGGAGGGCGGAGCTTAAAGCTCGCCTCGCGGGGACCTCGCGCCTACAAGTGCGGGCCAACGTGCGACCCGACCCGAACTGCGGGCGCGCCGCTGTCACCGCCAGGTACGTGCCCGCTTTTTTTTAAAGGATTTTATGACCTGGTAACTAAGACCTTTAGGTCAAGTCTTATTATAATTTATACTCTTAATTTTATGAAGAAATATGAAGTGAAATGAAATTTATGAATCTCAGTAAAATTGTGGTCATTTACTGACACTTTTCCAGTGGATTTGTTTGATTTCCCCACATTTGTGCACTTTCACAGATACTAAACAGTTCATAAATCACCGTTATTACACAATTAAACCTGAAGAAATACTAAATAGACAAAATAAAACAAATCACACAACTTCACTCACGTTCCCGCCAAAAAGTCGTGCGTGCCCGCCGGGACTTTCTGGGCATAGATTACACATAAATTGATTATAGATAAGTAACTCAAGCACTCAACTAAAATTTTAACGGCACTAGACGGCTTCTCTTCGATTAGTTTCTCATTGGTCCGGTAGACGGCTCTGACGACGACGGTGTTGAATGTGAACATTGATGAATGTGTGACACGTCTCGTTACAGCGACGCGGTGCAGATACAGATATCTGTGGACCCCGAGGGGGCGCCCGTGCAGGACTACAAGTCGGCCCTGCTCTGCGGGAGCGGTGAATATTTTGATCATTATAACTGTTTCGACTGTGGTGTCGTTGGGTCGGAGGTAGACCTAAGAAGAAGTAGATGGATTGCGTGAAAGACGATGTGTATGAGGGGAGTGAATGAAGAAATGGTACATGATAAAGGAGTATGGAAGGAGAAAACATGTTGCGCTGACCCTAGATGACTGGGAGAAGGGCAGGAGAATGATGACTATAGTGTCGGTGGGGACGGAATCACTGCGCTGCCAAGCAACATGACAACAAGCCCCCCACAATGTGTCTTAAATAAGGGGGGGGGGGGTCGCCCGCACGAGTGGACCGTCCTGCCTATATTTGCCGCGTCGCAACCATGCGCTCCGGTTCGAAGTATATAACAACCGACTAACATTACTGGTGGTAGGACGTCTTGTAAGTCCGCACGGGTAGGTACCACCACCCTGCGTATTTCTGCCGTGAAGCAGTAATGTGTGTCGGTTTAAAAGGGAGGGGGGGCGTTGTACTGTAAAAACTGAGACCTTACAACTCATGTCTCAAGGTGGGTGGTGGCATTGAAGTTATAGATGTTTATGGGCTCCGGTAACCACTTAACATCAGGTGGACTGTGAGCTCGTCCAGCCATCTAAGCAATTAAAAAAAATTGAAGCTTCGACCTCATGTCCCGGGGTAAGTAGCCATGTTATGATGTCTATGGACCCGAGTGACCACTAAACACCAAGACGGTAGAGGCTTACAGTAACACCCGAATGGGGAACGTCTGGTCTAGCTTGGCTAGTAATGAATGTAGTATAACATTTACAAACAATTTAACATATCGAACCGGTTCATCAATCTTAAATAGCATGTCCTTGTTCCATGTTAATGTCATTTATATTAAAACAGACAGCCGAGATTCGGGGAAGCCGTTAATCACATGGCTGTGGCCCAAAGTGCGCGCCGTGCCCGGGACGGAACAGGTGACCGTGTGGGCGACTGCTGATCCCACCGGACCTTTATTGGCTGTAAGTCACGATTTTGAAACAGTATTCTGAATGTATCATTTCGTTTTGACCATCGCACCGCCCGCCACCGGAGTAGAGTTCATCCATACTACCTGGAGCCGCTGCGTTCATCCACATTGCATTTCCAGAGATCATGTTTGCTACGTACCATCCGGCTTTGGAATGGCTCCCCTCCACGGTGTTTCCTGAGCGCTATGACATGTCCTTCTTCAAACGAGACCTGTGGAGAGTATTAAGTAATAGGCAACGGCTTGGCTCTGCTCCTGGCGTTGCTGAAGTCCATGGGCGACGGTAACCACTCACCATCAGGTGGCCCATAAGTTCGTTTGCCTACAAGGATATTAAAAAGCTTTTCGTATCGAATCGTAAAAGCTCACAACGCATTATATATGTACTGACTCCCTGCAGACCAACAAAACGCACTAACCTTCGTTACTGTCGGATTCAGGATGCCGATGCATTAGTGCAGCTACCCCGGGGATGTGGAGAGCAGAACATGGCCAGACTGGCCACCAACCTTCTGGCTCTGGAGCAGCTGGACCCCAGGTCCGGGGCGGCCACGGCAGCCCGGGAACACGTCCTCAGAGGTGATCTAATGTTTTCGATATTCACGACGGTGCAATCACTTGAGACTCCTTGGAATGAGTCCACCACCTAGTGTTGCATTTTTGTCGGAGCTCACCACAGTATGAACGTCGTCACCCACCTCGAGATCGAAGTGTTAATTCTATACTATAACTTTTGTTCCACCTTTGAAGAATAACTGTTTCGCGGCCGATGACTCGAGGATGCTTAATGCTGCATGGGTATGGCATGCCCACACCGCGCCCCACCTCCAGTAGACCCAGGTCCTAAGATATGCAGCAGTTTTTACCTGCCGCAATTGACGGGGGTGTCCATGGAGGGCGAGTGATTCACCAAAAACTTTTCAGGATTCAATCGCCAACTGCAGTATATCCATCCCAGTGGAGGGTTTAGCGCTTTCGGAGCTTCTGATACAACGTCTTCGACGTGGCTCACGGCCTTCGCCTTGAGATACATGAAGAAAGCTCACAAGGTCAGTTGGTAATCTTGTACACTCTGCATAACTTAGTCTATTCAACATACATTTTTTAATGCCCTTGTAGGCAGACGAGCATACAGGCCACCTGATGGTGAGTGGTTACCGTCGCCCATGGACTTCAGCAATGCCAGGGGCAGAGCCCAGCCCCTGCCTACCGCTCAATACTCTCCACAAGCCTCGTTCGAAGAAGATTTTATTTGTGTACTAACAATAGACCTACCTATCTAGATTTATCTTAAGCGATCTTAAGTTGACGTTTTTATACCTACACCTTTATACCTATATATGGAATTTCTTCATCGCCTAGTCTTCTATCTGTTTTCTTTTTAAATATATCATTGATACCTAAGATCTTTTCTGAAAATATGACGAGACATCTAATAATATTTCAAACATGTAAGAGTGCGATAGTAATATATAGATGTCTCTCTCGCATGCCTCATTTTGGTCATGGTATCAGCGGTCTATTACCAATCCTTCAGTGTTTTTCTGTTATAAATGGTGTAGGCGAATGATACCCCACCCCGCTTAGCTTACCATACAATTATTGTGCATATCGTAATGAGCCGCATACGTTAGTCAGTCAGTGGTCAACGTGCAGCGATCCACCGCGGTCGCTGACGCGAATAAACATGTAAATATACGTAGTGTTTATTGACCGCTCCTATGAGGATTATGGAGGACAACACGCAACTAACAACCAGCGCACACGCCTCCTCCTCTGTCTTCTCCCTATCTTCTCCCTATGAACCTCACAATGGTATTGTGGATGAATGAGTTTTAAACAGCGACCCTAAGAAATTAGCCCGTCTAGGGCATCAGTCTTCTTCTTCTTCTTCGTCGCTTCCTCATTACTGAGGGTCGTGACCACCCTGGTCTAGTTTTTGCACCGGCTTCCTCCAATGTTGACTGCATTCGGCCTGCTTAATGGCGCCCGAGACGCTGGTGTTTGTGGCCTCCTTGACAATGTCCGTCCAGCTGGTTGGCAATCTTCCTCGACTTCTCTTTCCTTCCACGTGACCTACAACTATTAATTTTTCCAAGTTGGAATTCGTCCATTGGAAGCATTTCGTCGGACCATTAATTTATTTAATTAATGAAATGACCGCCTGATCCCACTCGTAGGTGCTGTGGCCGAACCTGCTGCCTCCCCCCGCGCTGGACCGAGCCGAGCAGTGGCTCACTCACCAGCAAATGGAGAACGGCTGCTTCCGGAACGAAGGTCAGGTCTTCCACAGGGAACTCAAGGTAAACTAAAAAAACATCAGCTCTATTTACGAACAGAAGTTTTTTTTTTTTTTTGCTTAGATGGGTGGACGAGCTCACAACCCACCTGGTGTTAAGTGGTTACTGGAGCCCATAGACATCCACAACGTAAATGCGTCACCCACCTTGAGATATAAGTTCTCAGTATAGTTACAACGGCTGCCCCACCCTTCAAACCGAAACGCATTTCTGCTTTACGGCAGAAACAGGCAGGGCGGTGGTACCTACCCGTGCGGACTCACAAGAAGTCCTACCACTAGTAAAAAAAAGTTTTTTATTTATATTGCATAGATATATTGTCGAGCTCACAGCCCACCTGGTGTTAAAGTGTTATCGAAGCCCATAGACATCTACAACGCAAATGCCGCCACCCACCTTGAGATATGAGTTCTAACGTCTCAGTATAGTTACAGAAGTTCTTCTATCTCGTTATATTTGTGATTTAAAAGAAAAACGACGGTGCCCCTGGTATTGCTGATGTCCATGAGCGACAGTGACCACTCACCATCAGGTGCTCCATCTGTCTACAAGACTAATAAAAAAATATATGTTGCATTTTTTCGGGACCACAAGTCGGTTTGCAAATCCGTTAGTAAATGGCATCACGAACTAATGTGCAGAGCGGTGGTACCGGTCTGTGCGGGCTCACAATGCGCTCTACTGCCAGTCCATTCTGGACCGTAATCCCAGTATGCTAGTATACTATTCAAGAAACACTACTCTTGATGATGAATCCTGAAGTACTGTAGACCAAAAAAGGAAGACCCAAATGTTTTTGACTCCAGGGAGGTCTGAACGTTGAGGGAGAAATAGCCAACATAGCGTTAACAGCTTATGTCGTCACGTCTCTAGTGGAAATCAATTCCCCTCTCTCCTTCAAACTCCTCCGAAACTCCCTCTCCTGTCTTCGAGCTCTCCCCCCGCACAAATCCAAGAGCCCCAACAAGATATATGCCCACGCTTTGCTGTCCTACGCCTATATGAGGCTGAAGCGATATGAAGAGGACTTGAGGCAAACCAATGAGGCGTGGACTTGGGATGGAAGGAAAGCTGAGGGGCTGATGGAAGATGAAGAGTTGAGGGAGGTGTTGGAGTTGTTGAAGATGGCCAAGAGAAGTGGAGAGTTTATGTGGTGGGAGACCAGTAAGTATTGCTGACGGTCTCTGTACTGTCGTGATTAATGCTAGCAATGTTATTGTTTGCAATGGACTTAGAAATCGGTAGACTTGAAGATATCTAAGACAGTCACTGGTTCTTTTAATTGATCTCAAAATACGGGAGAACAATCTCCTGTTATTATTAATATTCATATATTTTATATTAAATTTTGTTCAACTCTCCCTCTCTCTCTTTTTCTCTTGGATTATTAATGCATCCATAGAACAAGAGAAAATGTTCGGTATAAATTGCAACTTCAATAAGATTTTGTTTTCGTTGTGATACCATACGGGCATGTGCCCTACCGTCTTGCATATTTCTGCCGCAAGGTAACCATGAGATTCGATTGGATCTCCAGCCCCGCGTGTAAGAGGGGTTGGGGGGGAGGGTCTGAGTGCGCGGTGTGTCCGCAGCCAGCCTGTCCAGCACGGTGGAGGCGACGGGGTACGCACTACTGGCGCTGCGGGACAGCCCGCCGGCGGTGCGGGAGCGGGGCCGCCCCGCGCTGGCCTGGCTCGCCGCGCAGCGCTCCGCCACCGGGGGATTCGTTTCCACGCAGGTCAGACTGCTCTTGACTATTTGACCTACTTTTTTTCTTTTCCTACCTAAGCTAAGAGGCTATATCAGCGTAACCTTAACTAGCAGGTGAGCTCACGGGGCTCAAACCTGACGACGTTGCTAACACGAACACCCTAGGAAGAGACGTGCTTCGCAGAATCTACCACCGGATCGGAAACGCGACCCACTGAGAAGATCCGGCGAGAAACTCGGTGGGCTACTATTTGACTATGACGTGCATGTATACTGTATGCGCGCGAGTTCATGTCCATCGGGGCCAGAGGCGACGCGCGGGGGACAGCTCGCCTCGCCTTCGCCCACCGCCCCGCATTTATCTGACGTCGAGTGTTGTCCTTGACGGTTGTGACGCGCGCTTATCGATATCGAAAATTTACGCTAACGCTATTGTGTTATTTAACCATGACTACTCCGCTTCCAACAAGTTCAGATAGAAAAAAATCTACTGAAAAAAGATACATACTGATCTGTCGGTTGTCTTTTCATTTGATAGTGATTGAATTGGAATTTAAAAAATATTTTTCTCTATTCGAAATAAACAAGTAATTACTCATCACATTTATTTTATTTCATAAGTGGCAAAATACATTAAGTTACATTAAACCAAATTGACAGCTGTTAACTAAATCGGTAGTTATTATCGACATTACCATACTTAACGAGGTCACAGCACTACCGCATTCCTTAGGATGGACATGAACTCGCGTGCCTACTGTACATGTCGGATGATCCTCCAGGTACTAGAAAAGGAGGGAGGAGGGCAGGGACGTCTTAAATTAGGCTGGGGCCCTTGGGCACACAAGAATTTGAGGCCCTTTTGGAAAGTAAAAAAAGCTAATTATAATAACATTTTTTTACTGAGTATGACCATTTATTATAGGTAATCAAATACGGTATGATATAATATGTCATTAATGATATTAGAATGCTGTTGGTTTTTTGGTTACGATCACGATAACGGAAACCGAATAAATGTGTGTGAGAAATTGTCGGTCCTTAGGGGCCCCCTGAGAATGGGGGCCCTGGGCACGGGCCCCGTGTGCCCTTATGGTAAAGACGGTATTGGAAGAGGGAAAAGTACAGATTTTATATTTTGTACCGAAGATAAGATTACTGGTGGTAGGACCTCTTGTGAGTCCACACGGGTAGGTACCACCGCCCCGCCTATTTCTGCCGTGAAGCAGTAATGCATTTCGGTTTGAAGGGTGAGGCAGCCGTTGTAACTATGTATATACTGAGACCTTAGAACTCATATCTCAAGGTGGGTTTTTTTTTTATTGCCTAGATGTGTGGACGAGCTCACAGCCCACCTGATGTTAAGTGGCTACTGGAGCCCATAGACATCCACAACGTAAATGCGGCACCCACTTTGAGGTGGCGGCATTACTGTTGTAGATGTCTATGGGCTCCGATAACCATGTAACACCAGGCGATGAGATCGTCCATCCATCTAAGCAATAAAAAAATTGAGGTCTTCTAGGGACTTCTAGCTTGGAATCAGATGACAGAGTGTAATCTGTCACAGGCTCTTTATTCATCATTCCACTCTTGAAACTGGGATCTACAGATCGTTTCTCACCCAAGTATGACAGGGCAGTAACACCTACCCATCCAGGCTCACAATACGCCATAACCTCAGAAATTTCCCAAATAATTTGTCGGGCCCCATTTTATTTACACAATGCTATGCCTACATCTTTGAAATCATTTGTGAATGTGTTTTCATATTTCATCAGCAAAAAATTGGTATCTGTCTGTGGGATTCGAACCCTGGCACGGTCGCATCACTCCATACGAGTGCACAGGGCGTCTTATCTTTTTGGGCCGCTAGGACTCAAAGCTTATCAGTGAAAATCTTGTTACAATTCAGCCCCTAATTGATCTTGCAGGACACTTTAGTGGCGCTGGAAGCTCTGATAGCCTGGTCCTCTCTCCAGCCGAAGACGCAAACAAACTTGACGATAGTGGCACAAACCAACAAGATGAGTGCGAGCACGAGGCTGACGCCTGGCTCCAGGGTACCAGACCTCATGAAGCTGGGCCCGGCCGACAAGCTCAGCGTTATCGTTGAAGGTCAGATATGTTGAGTCTAGCATATGTATATATATGTATAACAGCGGTCGGGGAACTCTTTTAATTATTACCCCAAAATATTTTTGTGTATGTTGATATTACCCCATGGCGAAGAACAAAAAAAAAACGAAATCGCTTCTTTTTAGTATCGTTAATATTATAGCCCCTATGATAATTTTGAAAAGAAAACAATAACTAAAAATTTAACGATTCTAAAGAAGTTTCACTTCAATATATACTTTTTACTCACAAAAGTTTCATTTTTACCAACCAAACTTTCATTTTACCCCATTTGGGATAAGTTAGCCCGGTTCCCCGACCGCTGATGTAGGTATAATTATATAAAATATTCTAGAATGAATGAACAATAAAAGACCTAAATACGTTTTCTGTAATAATGTCAGCGTTATAATACGCCCGGGTTTTCACACATAAGATCTATTACAATGAAAATACAATACAATTCTACAAAACTTTAACATTACTTGTTTATTACAAAAAGCCACAACTTAGTTTTTACACAATTAGCCATTTTTGTTTGTTATAGCAACTAAAACTTCTTTTATACAAACAAATGTAATTAATTACTGCGAAACAATTCACAAAATATGGCTTAATATTCACAATACTTATTTTTACGTGATACTGACATTAATTTATAATACGTAAATTACTTTTAACTAATATAAACTAACATTATTATTATCCAGCCTAATAATAGATGGCGCCAACAACATGATTTGCTTATATAAAAAAAAATATTTATAAATACTTTAGATACCATGCACCTCACGCTTTTTTACAATAAAATCATTTTTTCTTGCACTACTTTTAATGCAAATTTATAAAAAAAATATTTTCTATTTTTAGTTGGCTTTTCTATAAAAGCATATTTTGTTACTTTTTTTAAACTATTATTTATTTTTCATTTTATAGTTGAATTTAAATTTTTTTATTTTTTTTCTTTAATTTTGTTTTTCAATTTTTAATTGTCATCGGTCCTTATTAAGTATACCAAATTTCGAGTTAATCCGTCGTTTTGAAGGGGGTCAAAATCATGTTCAAAGATTCCGTTATCAAACATACATACATACGTCTGAAGCTAATAAAAGCTTATTAAAAAGAATAGTTAAACTAAAAAACACGCTTTATGTAAAATTAAAAAAAGCGTGGGGTGCATGGTGTTATTAGTTATAAATATTTTTCTGACAGATATGAGCAGAAGAATTATTATTTTAATATATATTAAAAAGCACCCCACGCTTTTTATACAATAAAATGTATATTTTGTTATACTATTTTCAATTACAATTTATTAAAACTTGTTTTCTATTTTTTAGTTGAATTTTATATAAAGCGTGTTTTTTTTATTTTATTTTTAACTATTATCTTTTTTCCATTTTTTTATTGAATTTCAAGTTTTTTTTAAAATATTGAATTGTCATCGATCCTTAAAAAGTATACCAAATTTCGAGTTAATCCGTCGTTTTGAAGGGGGTCAAAATCATGTTGAAAGATTCCGTCTTCAAACATACATACATACATACGTACGTCTGAAGCTAATATAAAGCGTATTAAAGTACCAGTCGTTGAGTAAGTAAGTGAGTTAAGTAAAGCTCCGTGCACACAGGGTCGGGGTGCGCGCTGGTGCAGGCGACGCGCTCCCACAGCACGCTGCAGTCGGACGAGCTGCACGACAAGCGGCTGCTCGTGCAGGTGTCCGTGCGCACCGACGGACCCTTCGACTGCGACGCCAACACCACATTCTGCTTCTGCGCCGCCGTCGTAGAGGTCGCCTATTGAATTTGATGGAAATTTAGAAACGTTGTGATTTCAGACTCGATGAAACGAAAAAATAAGTCCATAGAGACAATTTAATACAGTGCCATCTATGATATTTTTTTACTAATGGTAGGTTTACTTAGATCGGAGTGGTGGGGCTCGATGGGGTTTAGTCGGTAGTCGTTCTGCGGGGCAAGTGCTTCGCGCGCCTTTTTCAAGGCGTAGTCTCCTGTGAGAAATTGGGGGAGGTGAAGGACCTCGGCCCTTCTTTTCTCCCCTTCTTCCTCTCAGGAGGCGCCGGAGTCCGACATAACCCGGTCCGTTACCCCCCTCGACCGGGTATCCGTAAATGGATTCCCCAGAGTTAAAAAAAAAAAAAAAAAAACGTTTACTTAGATGGGTAAACGAACTCACAGCCCACCTGGTGTTAAGTGGTTACTGGAGCCCATAGACATCTATAACGTAAATGCGCCACCCACCTCGAGATATAAGTTCTAAGGTCTCAAGTATAGTTACAACGGCTGCCCCACCCTTCAAACCGAAACGCGTTACTGCTTCACGGCAGAAATAGGCAGGGTGGCGGTACCTACCGGTGCGGACTCGCAAGTGGTCCACGACGATACGAGAGGATAATTGTTTTAAATACAGAATTAAAAGATACGGAACCCATTCTTTTAATTCACACGAAATTTCGTCCTTGTAATGTCTTCATTTAGGTTATCGGCCCGTGGTCTCCATACAGCAGCGTGTGTCCGTTTGTCCGACTCGGGAAACCATAAACTACTTCTCCCCAGGTCTGTGTGCTGTGGAGCGGTGACTTCCCCGAGATGGCGCTGCTGGAGGTCAGCTTACCCTCAGGGTTCGGAGCGGACGCTGCACGACTGTATTCGCAGCTTCACAAATCTGAGACGTGTAAGTTATTTGATGCTTTGGTGTTTGGTGTCAGTCTAGAATAGCACTACCATATCTTTCCAGTGGGTGGCTTTGAAGGCGACTAAAGGATTTCAAGAAGATGGAGCAGCAGAGTGTTGTTCGTGCGCGTGTGCGTGCTTGCATGCGTGCGTGTGAGTGTGTGTGTGTGTGTGTGTGTGTGTGTTGGTGTTGGTGAGTGTATTCGCCAACTGGCACACATTGATGGCGACATGGTAAACCGGCGTGGGTACATAGTGTAAAGTACCAGATCCTATTTCTAGCATGAACCAGCCTATTGTTCCAGTTAGGAAGGTGACCCAGCCTTTATACGATTGCGACTTCGACTTGTCTCGACATTCACAGTATGAGGCCTATAGACCTCATCTACGCAATAAAATATATCTAAATACAAGTTGTAATACGTTTAGATCAGACACATTTGTAAGTTCACGTGTTCCCCCAGTACTGCGTCGCATAGAGGTGTCTGCGGGCGGCGGGCGGGCGACGCTGTACCTGGGCGCGGCGGGCGGGTGGGGGGCCGGGGGGGCGCCGCGCCGCTGCTACCGGCTGCACGCGGTGGGGCCCGCCGCCCGGACCCGGCCCGGACACGCGCGCCTGCGGGACTACTACCGGCCCGCCGTCAACGACACCCAGGTAACTAGCTCATCACCATCGGACGAATACTGTACTGTACCGTACGGTGTCGAGTAGAAGCAATTGGAGGAAGCAACTGAGCAATTGTTTGAGATGATCCCCTCATCTCCTTTTTATCACCGCACCTCCCGCCATCGGAGCAGAGTTCATCCATACTACCTGGAGCCACTACGTTCATCCACAGTGCATTTCCAGAGATCTTTTTTTGCCACGTACCATCCGGCTAGGGAATGAGCTCCCCTCCACGGTGTTTCCCGAGCGCTATGACAGGTCCTTCTTCAAACGAGGCTTGTGGAGAGTATTAAGGGCAATAAAATAAAATAAAAAAAGCAAACAAAATTGCTTATTCTTTATATGTGTAAAGAAGCAAAACCATTATTATATTCTTTAGATCTACATATATAGTTATAAATGTGTATATGTTGTAATGAAAAACGTTACGTGGGACCTGCGCCCACCTCCACCACCACCGCTGCGGACTGTGGGTCGCGCCCCCTGGCGAGGTGGTGCAATGACCTTCGAACGGTGGCCGGTAGCAGGTAGATGAGGAGAGCCGAAGAACGGGCTTAATCATGATGATGATTGACGCGTACAATAAAACATACTCTCTCTCTATCTCTGTCTCTCTCTCTGTGTATCTCTGTCTCTCTCTGTGTGTGTGTGTGTCTCACTCTCTCTCTGTGTGTGTGTCTCATTCTATCTCTAAAATTTGAATAATATTTAGCTTTATTTAACTTAACATAAACACGTTTTAAACGAAATTCTTTCTGTAGATGTTTACAATACCCGAAGACTGTCCGCCGCCGGTCTCCCCGGAGACGAACGACTACCACAATTCGGACAACCTGTTCACCAAGGCCAAGTCTCCGGGGAGCGAGATCCTCATCACCGACGAGTACAGCTTCGAGGACATCCCCGACGGGATCCCGCTCGATGACCCGCTCTACGTCTACGAGAACCTCGTCAAGAGAACTGATGACGTAAGCGATAATGTTGCCAGTAATTTCGAGTCCGTACCGAATAGTAGTAAAATAGATAATTTCAAAATTAATTGTAGCGGTAGTTTGAATGACAGTAAAACGTTTGTAGATCATAAATTGGCCGCTTCAGAGTTGATTAAAGGTGTATCCATGTTGAATAGGAGCATTGAACATTTTGATACTCATATCAAGAAAAATAATAACACAAAATATACAGTAAAGGAAAGTAATATTGACAGTGATATTGGAAGTGACATGACAACTTCGGTTGACAATCCGAATTTATCGCAATTCCATGTAATTGACAGCGAAAAAGATTTAGATGTGCCCTCGGGTGTGGAAGGGCCGGTGCCAACGATAGTGTTGCCACCACAAAACTTTGTGTTGCCAACAAATAATTTTAATTCACCCCAAAGCATAGAAAGAAGAGAATACTACCTTAATAGTAATAGTAATTCTAGACATTTAAAAAGACAAAATTACGGCTCCAATTAATTGAAATTGAACAAAAATTATTGGATTTACTTAAAGATTTTAAGACTGTAGTATTTATATTAATCTATTTATAGTTATTGACTAGGTGTAAAATACTTGGATGTTGGTAACATTTCGCTAGTGTTAGTCCTTGGTAGTGGAACCTTCTTTACTGTTTCAACCTACTATTTCCTGTCACACGGATGGATACGATCATCCTTTGGCCTACCGAAGATCATAGGTAGGACAACCTATAGATACATAATTATGATTGCATTTTCGTAATGACTCAAAGAGGGCGGTAGTATTCATTTTGAGGTCTTCAAAAGCTTCAGTAATTAATCCTAAAAGTAGCCAATAAACACACAAATAAATAGATTTGACATTTAATTTATCTATTTATTTATTATAACGTATTTCAACCACACACACACACATGAATAGATTTAGCATTTGAGTTATCTATATAATATATATTGTCAATTCGTTTAGGCAAACGGGCTTTGATAAAATCCAAGAATATAATTATTATTAAAAACTACTTGGACGGATTAATCTCGTATTTTTTTTTGTCATTGTATTTATTTTTCGACTTTTCGGATCGTTTACGTAAATTAGTGTAAAAGTAATATTAATTTCATGTTTAAAATTCACTATAAAATAAAAATAAGAACAGTCTAGAAAAATAAAAAATAAAAAAGTTGGTGACATTTTCTCTCTATGCACCGTAGTTGCGATTAGCTTAATACAAACTGACGATCAACGCGCAACTTACTAGCGATAACGATTTTGAAATGATTACACTATAGTATAAGATTGATTCGGACTAGACCTAGTTATTGTCGGTTAGCTAGGCTCGACAACGACATTGTGTACACAGAAACCTCTATTCGCATTTATTTAGTTTGTAATAATATTAATAAATAGATAATAAATAATCGAGAGCTGAAAAGCTATTTGGTTTAAGCGACATTTCGCTTAATAAGCGACATTTANATTTTAAAAAGATTACACTATAGTATAAGATTGATTCGGACTAGACCTAGTTATTGTCGGTTAGCTAGGCTCGACAACGACATTGTGTACACAGAAACCTCTATTCGCATTTATTTAGTTTGTAATAATATTAATAAATAGATAATAAATAATCGAGAGCTGAAAAGCTATTTGGTTTAAGCGACATTTCGCTTAATAAGCGACATTTATCTTTGTAATTATAGATTAGTTTTATTTATATACTAGCGACCCCCTCGCTTCGCTTCGGAAACATTATATTAACAATTTTATTACTGATAGCTGAGTCCCGCGGTTATTGTCGTACCGCGGGTGACGCCACGAGGCAAAGCCAGTCTAAAAAAGTTACTCCTTATATCATCAGCTACCTATCAGTGAAAATCTCGTCAAAATCGGTCCATCCGTTCCAGAGATTAGCCGGAACAAACAGACGGACCAAAATTGTAAAAAATGTTATTTTGGTGTATGTACGGTATATATAAATATATTCATAATAATATGCATGTAGTAAAAACGATTATTTCAATTACAAACAGACACTTCAATTTTATTTATATGTATAGATTATCATTAACAATTCGTTCATAATTGAACTTCAATTAAGTTTACCCCACTCAAATACGTGGAGAAGTTTTTTGCTACGATATTATTTTCCAAACTTTAAACTTTAAATGGCTCTCCTGTAAAGTTGCAAAAATGTCGCTTAAACACTACAAGCTTTCATCCGTCGATATGATGAACTAAAAAATCCTTAATATTTATTTACACGGAGCGGGTAGGTTTAAATAAAATCAACATAAAGTATATTTCGGCACGACACTTATATCGATTTACGAAGCGGTGTTATGGTTATATAATGTTATATAATGTTAGGTTATATATAATCTTACTCTATACGTCAATGATTGAAAACGTGTTTAATTAAAGCAATAAACTCGTGACGTATCTAAATATTACTAACTTCGTGTCCGACTTATCGTGCAGTCGTCGCACTGTCGATAACTCCAACAAAATTTATCCTTAAGTTCGCATAGGGATAGGATGTAAAACAATTTAGCTATAATCACACTTATTTAAACCGATTACTTAATAAGGATGTATTTATTTTCATTGCAACTTAAAAAGAAAAATATATTAAATAGGCTGTGAATAAAAACTTTTTACTAAAATTGTGTTGTTTTTTTTTAACCTGTGGAAGCCTAGGCAAAGCAATGTTGACACGTGACTGCCACGTTTTGTAATTTTAAGACTTTATTATATTACCTTGGAACTTGGACGAGTATACAGCTCTGATGGATGAATAGAGGATATCAGCAATGCGAGCGAGAACGCGCTGCCCACCACTAAGAACGCTAGTCAAATCACGTTTTTTGTAGAAGAACATAATATTAGTTCTCAGAAAACAACATGGCATTCCAGAGCCGTGTCGTCAGCGGTAAATTTTTTGTCAAAACGTACTGAGATTGTGCAACGTTGGAGGGTGATAATGCATTGGGAAAAATAAGCTGACTGAGTTATTTCAAACAAGTTCTCAGAGCACTCAGAAAGGCGGTGAGCTTCATGCTATTGTCTATGGCCTTGGTTGTCAAACTGCGGCCCGCGGGCGAGCAGACAATTTTAGTAGAAATAAAAAATACTGATATAATATACTTACTATCTTTTTCATTACAGATATGTTTTCACGCCCATTCCTAATTAATAAGCTACCCACGTTGCATAAATAATAATTATAATTGATTTATTTTAAGGACAATCGCCTTTTGACACTTGATATTAAATATGTCAATTGACTGGTGGTCAACTAAACGGTCCAAAAATGTATGGCCCGCAGTGATACCTCACATTGTCCTATGTAGCCCTTGACCAGAAAAGTGTGACGACCACTGGTCTATAGAATCCGATGATAGGGAAAGTGTACCATGACGCTTGTCTGCCTATGACATGAAGAGAAATTTTAAACTTAAGTTCAGGAATTAGAGAGTCCTCTGAAGCTAGCCTCCCTAATTCTCTTCTTCTTTTTCTCCACCTTATCCCACTAATCCAGGTCGGCACAGCTAATTTTTCTCTTCCATTCTCTTCTATCAGTCGTTATCTCAACACTTACTCCTCTCTCTCATATCGTCATTCACACACTCTATGTCTTCTTTGATCGACCTCTTCCGCCTCTGCCTTGCCCTACCATTTCCATACATCTCCTAGTCACATGCATCTTCTCTCCACGCATCACATGTCCATACCACGCTAACCGTCCGCTCTTTAATTTGTTGATTACCGGGGCTTCACACTTCTATTAGTATACTTACTTATACTTCTGCTAGTCTCCCTAATTATTGATAGCAAAACTTTTAAATAACTATATATTAAAGGGCACCTACCTACCTACTGCTAAATGGCCCTTCCCATATTTTTTGTCCTATATACTATTCGCCGATAGCATAAGGAGCTATACCGGCTTCGGGCGAACGGGTGAGACCTTGTTTGACAGCCTAGTACTTACACTCCCTATCTCAGGATTGAAGGTGCCCGCTCTATATTATATATATATATATAAAGATAGCGACGGTAACCACTTAGTACTGGTGACCCAGGTCCGCCATAGATTCTGTCTTCCGACGGCAACACACCGAGGCACTATGATACCTACACCGGCCCAAAACACCAAATAATACGTCGCATATTTATTTCATTGCACGACAATTATGTTTATTGTTACGAATTTCCCTTTAAACACACATCTAATAATAAGAATGGATAAACACAGAGGATGCTTTTATCTGACCCGAACTTCCTATTTCAAAACATTTTATGTAATACAAAAACGGAATGTATCAAACATTTTTGTTTTATTTTATTGCTTAGATGGGTGGACGAACTCACGGCCCATCTTGTGTTAAGTGGTTACCGGAACCCATAGACATCTACAACGTAAATGCCGCCACCTGCCTTGAGATATAAGTTCTAAGGTCTCAGTTTTTAGAGTACAACGGCTGCCCCACCCTTCAAACCAAACTGCATTACTGCTTCACGGCAGAAATAGGCGGGGTGGTGGTACCTACCTATCCTTAAGGACTCACAAGATATCCTATCACCAGTAAACTGTATTGGAATGGCCCTTAGGCGACTGACACACACAATATTTAAACCGGTGTTTATATTGCATTTATTTACATTTTACAAAGCCTATTAATATATTACTGACTTGAAAATATGATAATTTATACTTTTACGTACTTATAAATGATAAGATAGTTTTTTTGTTGTAGTGATCAATGTGTCACTTAACACCGGTCTTTTCAAACCACTGAAGTATAAAACCTACAAACCCTTTCTATTTTCTCGTCAATTCTTTGATATCCTCATCCAAGTTGCGTTTCCGTCTAGGCCGTGATAATAACAGACAAATAACATTAGAAACATAATCGCACAGAGTTGTACTTATGAGTTATAACTAAATCAATCCATTCGTTTTTGTGCGATCATCTAACAAATTAATAATGATGTAATACAAATGGTGATTAATGAATTAAATCGGCAAGAAAACACATCACCAAATAAATTCTTACAAAGTTACACATTTATTAGTTTTAAATATGTATACTATTCTATATCCTTGTCATAGGTAATAACTACACTTTGGAAGTAAATCGAGATCGTTTCTGCCACACTAGAGGGCACTACGAAATAAATCCATTTTCTAGACCGTCCATTTTTTTTTCCTACCTATGCTGATAGCCTTGAGAGGCTATTTCAGCTTCTCCTTGTGTAGGTGAGCTCACGGGGCTCAAACCGGAAGTGTTGTTAACACTGGCCCTAGTAAAACCAGTGCTTCGCAGAATCTACCACCGGATCGGAAACGCGACCCACTGAGAAGATCCGGCGAGAAATTCAGCGGGCTAAGACCGTCCATTAACCGATCTTTACCATTAAAATTTATAAAACCAATGAGTTTTGCAAAACAAGTTTTAAAAACTAGTTGCGGGACCTGTTTATGGAAAGTTTTAACGGATACAAAATTCCAAATACAATATTAATTTATTCCTATTGTCTGCATTACCTGCTATTTGTTTTTTCTGAAGAAAAGTTGACTACCTCGATTCTCTTCTAGAGCCTAGTTTTCATCGCATGCATGAAGATAGACCCTCGTATGTTAAAGATACAGAAGTCCAACGGCATGGCCACAAACATGAATTCTCAGAATTATATAATAAACACTAATAAATATATGGCGAAAACGAATCGACCTAGTTTCGTATTTTGGTCCAGTTACGTCAAATCTTGCAAGCCAAAATGTATTCATATCTTAGACACGCACATTGTAGCGTAACTAAATAGTCACCGCCGCGCGCCAAGATAGGTGCTCGCCAAGCCCAATGACTCACTAACAGCTTTTATCATTACCTATCACCAAATACCACTACCGTTCATATTTTCATGATTTTTTTGGCATATGAATTCTATTTTGGTAAACGTAAGGCAGTGTAGTACCTATTTTTTTTAAGTAAAATCTTTATATACTTTATAAGGACATCCCATAAAAATTTATTTTTAATATTCACATTGAAATAGTTGAAAGTTCAATGACCTTTACAACTTCTTAAGTGAAGGCTGTTTAAAAATTTCCATATCATTTTAGAGTTTAGTATTTAAGTATTTCTCAGAACGATATAATTGGCCTTTTCGCATTAAAAGTGTACAAATTACAAACAGTGTAAAAAATTAAAAATAGTGGTTTTAAATATGATTAATATTTAAAAAGTTTTATGTTAAACCTTTAAAACACTGTCCTGTAAAATTAGTAAGTTTTGAGATTATACAATTTTAATGCTAGAAGACAATAATATGTGCACTAGACTTTTTTTAGTCATCCGTTGTGTAGAGTACCATCTCGATTGGAAATCATTCTAAATAGGTACACTTTTACATCATGTTTTACACTTGTGCAGATATTTTATTATTTTATCTGTGTCTGCAACTATATTCTAAGTTTCGATATCCTCTTTAACTAAATTATAATAAATAGTTAACTAAATTATAATTTAGTTTTTTAAGACATGACTTTTATGATTAAATCACCACAGCATTTAGAGAAAATCTAAAAACTCACATTTTATATATTATTATTATTAACTGGTTTTAATAATGAAATTATAGTATCTATTTGAAGTTAGGATAAAGATCAAAGTATTTTTAAAAATAGGTGAATGTCCTTGTATCCTAACATGTTCCATAAAAATTCATAAAAAAAAACAAATATTAGCAACATTTTAATATATATTTTTATTCAAATGAATTCAATTGTACATTACACAGAATAGTTAAATTTTAGTGTACATTCATCATTTTTAAAATAATCATATTAATTACAAAATAAACCTTATCGGCGTAATATAGTTGTTACACATTATATCATATAAAAGTATGCTTTCAAACTCTCAAAGCCATAATATGGACAATATTTTTTAAATCTTACCAATTCATTTGAAATAGCAAAGTTTGAGCAATACTTCGCATATTTATTTGAAGATGGAAAAATATTTACTATAATGTGATCTGTTTACGTAAAAGTTGCATTTAAAGCTACGTGGACAATTTGTTAAAAAATTAACTATGTTTTAAATGCACCATTCAAAGAACTTCCTCATCAACATCACCTGTAATTTTCACATACATTTGTCATGCAAGCAATATATGAATAATACTGATAACAAATAATAGGCTGAGAAACATGTGAAAATAATTTCAATTATTAAACAATTTGATGTTCTACTTTTCTCAAGACATTTTATAATTGACACGCATTTTAAAATATACCATTTTTTTAAAGCAACACCATGATTTTAAGCATATTGCTCACACAACAATTTGCCATTCTCAAGAAGCTAATAAATTAATTACGAATTATATTTGATGTCTTGATCAGAATATCTACAGACCTAGAGAGGAGTCCACACCTAAGTACAACTGTCATCTGTATAATCTCATCCCTAATGAAGATAATGGACAAAACTCATTGAATCAATCAAATTAGAAGACTTAGCTTTTATATCCTTCATAATACTCAAACAAAACATGGACTGAGTATTATGAATTTTAAGTAATTTAACAATCACATTATTAATTTGTCAAAATATTCATGAGAAAATGTTCACAGGGGTGTAACATATCACTGTCTAGAGCTCATAATTTTTTGAATTAGATATTCTCTTACATGAATATTATGTACAAAGGTGTGGAGCGGCGCTGCGGCTCATAGCGCAGCGGCGAGACATCATTGGCTCTTGAGCTCCTTACCGATCGTGTAAGAAACAAGACGAGCCCAGTCAATCTTGCTGCGGGTCACAGGTAGTTGTCGTCTCAGTGCTTTGAACGTTGTGTCGCTCATGGTCTTGTAATTGTCTGAAATGGCAGTTTGATACGTATTTTCTGCATCAGAGACAAGCCGCACGAACTCTTTAGCAGTGGCGACTTCACCGCTAGCCACCAGAGGAGCCTTAATTTCCTTTGAGCTCACAAGTTGTACATTACCATCCTCATAATAATGAACTTGAACACGTAGAGTTCCACGTAACTCTGTGGCAGGCCCGCCGACCGTCAAAGACCACACCGAACGCCACCGACCGTTCCAGTAGTTCTTGGGTTGAAACTGGTGATCTTCGATACAGGCGACCAGCTGTACCGTACCAGAGTCGACTGTGCGACCCACCACTAAACTAGCACCATGCTTGTAGTGTGCAGCCACGTACGCCGTTAGCTCCTCATCAAGTGCCGCCCGCCAAGGCTCAGCCGCTCGATCGGGCTCGTAGGGTTCATACTCGGACGCTTCTTTGCGTAGATGGTCATACCTGAAAGAACACTTGGAGCGAGGATCGAAAAACCTTCCGCCACCAAGTTCGTTGTGGTCGGTGATGAGTGTATACAGCTCGGAGCCTTCGAGACGTACGGGCGTGAGTTGATCCTTGTTGTATTGAGCGAAGGCTCCACTAGCACCTTCCTTGAGCAAGGTATCGTTATTCAGCAACACCCTCACATCATTGAAAACTTCGTTAAATTCCCCTGGCGGCGAATGCAAAATGAAATCTGAAACGATTCTAACTTTTTCTTGATCACTAATCACTTCGTCACCGTCCGCCGCCATTTTCACTAGTTTGACATGACAATGACGGACAAGTAACCAGAGCCATAGATTATACACTTAATATATACCAGAGCTGTCTGTCCTAGCAATAAACTAATTCAATATGGCAATCGGTTTCAGAAACGATACCATTCTTGTCTAAACAGGGCTGCCAGGCTCGATAAAAATGAATTGACCAAATACGTACCGTACGTACGTATTACGTGTACAAAGTTCATAATATTTGTTTTCAAAATCATTAAATATGCATCACATTATTTTAATCCATTTAGAGAATTGGATAATCTAGTGGAAGTATCGCATTGGACCGCTGTAGATCATCCCTCTTAGTGAAGATGGCAAAAATATTTATCTTTAAAATGAAACTATGGTAAATATTTAGATTGAAAAGTAAGTAATGAAAATTTTCCTTAACTAAGAAAATGTCTCAAGCCTTAAAATTGTAATTTAAAAAAATCTACCTTACAGTTAGTAAGCGCGTGTTACTACCGTACAGTTAGTGAGAGTGGTGCCATGGCGTAATAGATTACGCCATGGCGCCTCTATTTAAAAAACATAATATGTATATACATTGGCAGCACTAAGCACAAAGTAGGAACACTGCGATATGAACCATCCAATAAGTAACCTATTTACCGGAATATCAAAACTGCCAGTGCTTTGATAGCATCATGCAGAAATTTTAACAAAGATATTGAGTGTGGTATCTCGATTCTCGTGTTCTTCTGAAAAATTCACTGAGGCCTCAGTAATTATTAACCACCGTTTTACTGAAAGTTTATTTTAAGCCTTTCATCTCGTTTCATTTAGTTTCATCCCAATTACAGTCATAAACAAATCAACTTTACCAAACTTCCTCCAAATAATACTTTACTATAAATTACTTTCTACCTAAAAGAATATAATATAATATAAACTACGCTGTATGGTACGATACCTTTGCTTGTGTAGTTGAAAATGGAACTACTGTCAAATTGACAGATATTACAAAATTTGACATCTTTAAAGCCAGGAATAATTCGTGTTGTGTAACTCCTATTATTCTACAATCACAAAAAAATGAATAAACTATTAAATTACAAATACTACGATACGCCTGAGGGCCAAGACATATTCATGAAGACATTTGTAACCAGTAAATATGCTGCAGTAGCCGGTCTTGCTGGTGCTTCTTTTGATGTGCTTATGTTCTCTCATCCAAAAGGTTTTGTCAATACAATCGGTCGAATGGGCTATATTGTAGGCCCTCTAGTGGGTATGGCAGTTGCCTTCACATTCACTACCAACGTTGCCCAAAATATTCGTGGGAAAAACGATAAACTCAATTACTTCTTGGGTGGTGCCACATCTGGCTTTGTGTTTAGTGCTTGGATGAAAAAGGGGATTATCGCGGTGCCTGCCGCGGTGGTACTAGGCGCAATAGCTGTGGTAAAGAAGACAGGCATCGATGAAGGCTGGATCTTTTTCCCAGATGCGGCACAATCTACTAAAACAATCAAATCAGTTAAACATGACTGGACTCTTCTCAAAGATATTGAAGAATTAAAGGGATGGACAGACGGTAAGCTAGTAAAAATATCAGCATTATTCACCAATTAAAATATTTTAAATAGATATCTGTTGATAATGTTGTTAAAAAATGCAAAATATTACACGTTTGATACTTAAATTATTTTATTAACATAGTTATCAATGTTTATGATTTCACACGTTATAAGAGAAGTTTTTTTTNTTCTCAAAGATATTGAAGAATTAAAGGGATGGACAGACGGTAAGCTAGTAAAAATATCAGCATTATTCACCAATTAAAATATTTTAAATAGATATCTGTTGATAATGTTGTTAAAAAATGCAAAATATTACACGTTTGATACTTAAATTATTTTATTAACATAGTTATCAATGTTTATGATTTCACACGTTATAAGAGAAGTTTTTTTTTGTTGAATGAGGGCTTTAACTTAATAGCAACTTTTAATAGCATATAGTTTCTGAATTTTATTTTATTACTTGAAGTATCAAAATCAAGTAGTAAAGGAGTTAGCGTCATGGGCGTCAAGAGCTAGAACAGACTGCCGAAGACCGATGTAAATGGAAAAATTTGATTCGAAAAGTATGATATGGTAATAGGAAAGAATGGTGGATGATGATGATGATTTACAGTATTAGATTCATGTTTGCTATTTTGAGTAAAATCAACTATAAGCAATCTAGTAGTGTATTGATATATTTTTATGAATTTACGAGTAAAGATGTGTGACTCTTCTTGTCAATTCTGCAGTCTAATCATAACTATCTATTTTACATACAACACATAGTAAACAAGAATTTAGGTATAAATCACAAATAACCATAATGATTTCTAAAGTGACATTAACATTGCCGATGTCGATGGGCTTTGATAACCATTTAACACTAGACGGGCCATGATACTGTTCAGATGCCTAAACAATAAATAAAAAACAACTCATTAGAATGAAAACATGATAAAAGTTTTTCCTACCATGTTATAGCAGTTTGTTTACCATAAAATATGTAACTAATTACATTTTATTTTATTTTCAGGTTCCAAGCAATAGAAAATCATGTAGGAAATGTAAATAAACTTTGAAAATAATTTATCTGTTAAGAGTTACAACTAAAAATGTTAAAAATCAATGGATTTTTTAAATAAAAACTAGTTAATTTAGATGGAAATAGAATTATTAGCATCCTCAGTGGTTTATACTTACTTACTAGAAAATCAACAATCCAAAGAGTGTCTTCTGGTTTTTGACACAAAAAAAATCTGCTCAATAAATAACGATAGAATAAATTAAATTTTTTTTTATAAATATTTATTCAATTAGAATTATTAACATGTTCATTTTATATTGAGGTGTTTTTTTTATTGCTTAGATGGGTGGACGAGCTCAAAGCCCACCTAGTGTTAAGTGGTTACTGGAGCCCATAGACACCTACAACATAAATGCGCCACCCACCTTGGGATATAAGTTCTAAAGTCTCACTATAGTTACAATGGCTGCCCCACCCTTCAAATCGAAACGCATTACTGCTTCACGGCAGATATAGGCAGAGTGATGGTACCAATCCGCACGGACTCACAAGAGATCCTGCCACCAGTAATTACGAAAATTATAAAGGTAGTGGTGGAGGTAAATCAATTTTAAGCAGCTACTAGATTCCATATATAAACAATCCTGCAAAAACCTAAAAAAATGAAGGAAAAAGGGCAGACCAAAATAAAGCCGAAAAAATGGGGAGTTAATTCACAAATTTTTGGCTCTGGATTTGAATTGTTCAGAATCCCTAAGAGTGAAGATCTGCAACCCATAGATGTTATATCATGAAAGTCATCACTCATTAAAAGCTACATCCTAATTATTGCATAGAGGGTGTGTCCTTTGCCAGTCAGAACGGATAAAGACTTCACGGCTGAAATATACAGGATAGTGGCACCACACAAACTTACAATACACCCTAACACCAGGAGTGGTCTGCGAAATCACTTCAGATTATACCATCTTTATCAAATGATACTATTTATTTTGAGAAATGGGTCCGACCACCACAGGAGCAGAATGTAATCACGCACTAAATAATGCAGAAATGAATTTGTTCTTCGTTGATTGCAATAAGAAGAAAAATTATATAAATGAAACACTGATTAATTCCACATTATTTATTAACTTAACAACTAAAAACAAAAAACAGAAGCGTTAACAAAAATAAATGTTTTAACAAAAACTCTTGAATGAATTATTAAAGGAATGATATGATAATATAGTATGAGTGTACATTTTTACTGGTATGAATAATGTATAAGGGAAACCGAAAACCGTCATCAGAGTCAGTTACAAACATCGCAATATATATAAAATTGTTTTTTACCGTATACGAATTTAACAATTACAACGGCCAACGCCCATGGTCAATGACCCATGGTGCGGCGGGACGCGATTTAACCCTTTGCTTTAGATTGCCTGTTCACAGACGAACATTAATTAGTCGATTTTAGAAGCAGAAAATCGAATCAGATCTTTTTTATTCTAGAGATATTATATTTCACTGATTTCAGTTTCCTTTTTTACGTTAATTTTTACAAAAAATATAAAAATATATAGGTACTGTAATATGTTCACTTTTATGTAAGACATGGATATACAAACTCAAATACAGTTTATAATGTGTTCAAATCCTGGATAGTGGTCATTAACGGATATGTAAATTAAACCACCGTTAGGTATGTACTTAATTTATTTCTTCATTGAAAAAATCCATAAATGTCGGACATTAGATATTGTGTCCATTTGAAATTACTCTAAGCTGTGAATCGTGATAATTTTAAAATGTTTCGTGTGTTCTATAAATATATGTGTTAATAGATGCATTATAAATAATAAAAAGCGGAAAGGTTCTCGGCAGCTTGGCCCGTAAGCTTTAAATTGTCAAGATTTAATAATATCCTCCTTAAAATTTAGTACTGGGATGTTTAAGTGCTTTTAGCTCACAGAACGGATGGTGATTTAATAAACTTTTGTTTTGATAGATCTATAATAAGAAATTAAAAAATCGGAAATGACAAAATAATAAAAACACTCGTCAACAATTACGTCAACAACAATCTCGTAAATGTGTAACAATAACTTAAATGCAATCAAACTACGATGAATTTAAGAGGCCTTTTACAGAGACATTCGGGGAAAGCTGATTTTGTTGTTGTTGCGTGAATGGTAAAATCTATGCGCGCAGTTATGCTAAGCTTGTAGTGTGTGTATTATGTCGTCGTGGCCTAAAGGATAAAACGTCCGGTGCATTCGTATGTAGCGATGCACCGGTGTTCGAATCTTGCAGGCGAGTACCAATTTTTCTGATGAAATACGTACTTAACAAATGTTCCATAAAGTTCCATAAATGACGTTCTTAAGAATACGAGATTTATGTCACAACGGAAACAATTTTATTTACTTATACCATTCATATTTAATTGTCTTTTTATATCTGACTCGAATAAAGATTGAATATTTTTGCCAAAAACTATTCTCTATTTGATTAGAAAAAATTCAAAATAAAAATTGACGCATCTTTTTTATTTTTATAAAAAAAAACATCAAAACTTTCGAGTGATTTTGGCGCGAAATGGCTACTAGTTTAAAAAAAAAGCCTACCTTTATTTACGTGAAAAAAGAAAAACATCTATGAGCTGTGGTATGTACCTACGTTTTCGATTAATTTTATTGAATTTTTGTCTTTTAAGTCCAAATTTCGCGTAGGAAATTTTTCTAAAGATACAAATCATACCAAGCACTTTCCAAAAAAATACAAAAGATTTATATAAAATTTAATATTTCACTTCGAACACCAATCAAATTACATTTCTCTGACATTGAGACATTTTAATAATCTAAATTTAAATGGACGCAAAAAACTAGCTTTCATCTGTTCCACAATATTAAATCCATAACAAAGAATAGAAATATAAAAAAATTGGCCAAACGTTTGGAAGAAATCGAGTAAAACATGGATAAAGGTTCATTAAATGTACGATAATGTGTTTTAATTTAAAATTTTACTTATTAATTACCTACTTAAATAGAAGGTACCTTGCGCCTTGGGCCAAAACATTCAGTAATAAAACGGGTCAACACTGAAAGTTGGACAAATATACTACTCGCATAGCAAAACGTCGGATGTGCCACTTTTAAACAAACAATTATAACTTTTATGTAGTTACGAGTACACGCTATATTCTTTGGGCATACTATTAAGTTTCCCATCTCGCAGATATAATCACAATATACTAAATTGAATCTAATGGGTATGTGTAAATTTAGAGCATACTTTTTGAGAGATAAATCTGTTTATGACGTAAATTTGGCACGAAAGTATCGAACAAACGTTTTAAGGAGGTTACATGTTGAATTTCCAAAAAAAACCATTATATTCCGTCATCAAATACCATCTTTTCCATAACAATATATGCGTCAATGCTTAAATTATTTTAACGATTAAAATCAATCTGCAACATTGAAAAATAAATATGAAACCATAATGCGACTAACTTCCCATAGCATTGTTCTTTAGAATATTAAGCACGAATAAAAAATGGTACTGTTACAATAAAACTATTATCCGTTAAACAACTCATCTTATATATTTTAATCTTATAATATCTTCGTCTAAAAATACGTTCAAATCGAAAATAAAAAATACACACACACACACAATAATTAATTAAATTGTTTATGGAAATACTAGATACTACAGAAAGACCATAGATAATCAATGTCACTTTAATGTTATCACAATATACGCATGTATCTTCTATTCAGTTCTTAAATTCTTTTCGAAACATTTGAGAATGAAATGAAAATAATATAGCTCAAGTACAATTTTATTTAAATAAATATTCAAATGGATGTTTTATTATTTTTTGAGAGAGGCATTACGAAGAGCAAGAACATAGATAATGTATTGGACTGGATTCTCTGTCGCTTTTTCGCTTGCCACATTTGTACATAAAAGAAGAAGACAGATTACTGTTTATTTGTTATTCAATTATGAACATTTTACAATATTCCAACCCTTAAAACCGCTTCATTCTTTTCATTTTGTAAGTCAATAAATAGTTCTTTATGTCTTGGTGTTTTTACTAAAAACAATAAACTTTCTCCATTGGCTAATCTGTGCATCATCGCAATACCATAGCCAATATGATCAGATCACAAAGAGAAGCGACTTTAGGGGTTCCGGATAAACATCGCTTGCGACATCTTTATTCGGTATGTTTTGGCCCATTCTCCAATTTCGCCGGAACTAATTCGTTTTCATCCAACTCTTCCTCTTCCACTTCCTCCTCGATCTCTTCTATTTCTATCTCTTCTTCGATTTCTTCCTCGTCTGAATCTTCTTCGGGTTGGTTCTGTATTTATTTATTGTTAAATTTATTCCTTCCGATCTCACATGTACAAACAGTGGATTTTACGTTTAAAATAACGCCCTCGGTCCTAAAGTTGGACGCTCATTACGTTTATTACAAATGAAATATTTTATTTCGTTCAATATTTTCTAATTTATTGATAGAAAGTTACGATCGAATTATTTTAGCTTTAATATACATCAATTACAGCTATTTCATTCACTGTGCTTAGTGAGAATTTTTTTACTTCTCGATGGCGTAAAAGTTAACTTAGATTTGTATGTAGTTCGAACAGATTCCCTACGTTTGTCGCTAGGAACGCTTTTCCTACTCTATTTGAGTCAACTTTTACGCGATCGAGACGTTAAAAAACACGCACTAAGCACACTAATCTCGGCATTTATTATGTTATGTATATATCAGATACAGATTTACATATTTTATGTATGTAACTAGCCGTATTCGCCCTCTTCGCTGCGCATTTAAAATTAACATTATTATTTATTGTCATTATTATTACTTTATTACGGAATCCAACACTCATATAAATATTAGCCTATCGATTAAGTACATGTGTATTTTCGACATGGATACCAAGTTTCAAGTCAATGGGATGCACGGTAGTTATAACGGAACATCCGTAAAAACCACTGTACATTTATATATTAGTATAGAAAATGTAGCTACTTACCTCGGGAGCCGGCTGCGTAACCGCGCTAGCCGTCGTGAACTCATCCACTGTTGATTCTGTACAAGAAGCAAATGCTACTTCCAGTGACGAACGTGGGCTATTCTAGTTCCGACGATACCACGCGGATGGCGCAGATTCTTTACCATATACTACTACTACTACTTTTATACTATAAAATTATAATTTGTGTAATTACTGGTGGTAGGACCTCTTGTGTGTCCGCGCGGGTAGGTACCACCGTCCTGCCTGTTTCTGCCGTGAAGCAGTAATGCGTTTCGGTTTGAAGGGTGGGGCAGCCGTTGTAACTATACTGAGATTTTAGAACTTATATCTCAAGGTGGGTGGCGCATTTACGTTGTAGATGTGTATGGGCTCCAGTAACCACTTAACACCGGGTGGCCTGTGAGCTCGTCCACCCATCTAAACAATAAAATATATATATATATAGAGGAAATAAGGGCCCATTTCCAAGGTGTTAGACGGTTGCCGGAGTTTGGGGAGATAATGCGGATGCCGCCACCCCGCTGAAGACATGATGTCGATATCTCTAATTTACAGTATTCCGGTTAACCCGTCCATGTCTGTGTAAACGTCCAAATATTAAACGCAGTGTGGATTCCGTATGTACATCTAATGAACTCCCACAGACCGGCATACTTTTTTGGTAATTTATATTTTACTCGTTCTAGAATATTTAAAACTGTTTAAAATGAACAATGTATGAACTGTATGGAATTGAGTGAATGAATCTAAATGGAATTTTACAAAACCCCAATTAGATTTAGAGAAAATCAGGTGTATTATATATTATCCGTGTCTGTTTTAGCATCCACACAGCTGTTTTACCATCATTTGATCTGTCACACAATGCTTATGATTTTTTTTCTTTGAAATCTTATGACCACAGATTATTCTTGTTTCGGCTTCGACGTTTTCTTTAAGCCCTTTTTTCCTACCTAAAAGCTGATAGCCTTGAGAAACTATTAGTTCGAATGGACTAAATTGTCTTTTTTTCCTACCTATTCTAGTAAACTCGAGGGGTTATTCTAGATTCATCGAACTAGTAAGTGAGCTCACGGGGCTCAAACCGGGAGTGTTGTTAACACTGGCCCTAGAGCTCAAGAGCAGTGCTTCGCAGAATCTACCACCGGATCGGAAACGCGACCCACTGGTAGTATACACAGTACATTGCTTCTTAAGTACGGCGTTAAGATGATATGTAAGCTATGATTTACCTGGATCCCTTTCCGGCGTCTCTCTCGGCTCGTCTTGTATCAGAGAGAGAGTCATTTTACCGCTCACCACCATCTGGAATTTTCATTACAAAATTACAAAAAAAAAAAAACGAAATCTGAGGGTACTCTCGTTAGATTATTACTTCACGATATTTTATTTTATCTCTTATTTGGTTTTGGTACTATGTCAATCATCAATGGTACGGAACGTCATTGGCGATGTCCGGCACCACTTCCCATTAGACGGGCAGAGTGTTCAATATTTGGGAGTGCAAACAAGAATCGAATTCATAGAAGTATTGAATGTGATTGATGACTTCCTTGCATATATTACAAAAGTTAACAGTGTTGTCATTTAGCAAAATTGTTAAGGACTTTGATCGCAGCGACTGAATCAAGAAATTCCGTAACGAAAATAAAACCTAACACCCCCCACTCCGCCTACCATGTAGCTCCCGTTCAAGACATTCACGCGTTGCGCTTGTGGAGTGTTTGTGAATAAGCGCGCGGCGTGACGACGCACTGCATGCGCATCATGAAAACTCTGCCCATCTCTTTCTCGAGCGGCCTAGCTTATGAGTGTGAAGGGGACAGTTAATGTTTTGCTTTGGTTAACGTTTATAAATATAGCGTGGTATTATTTTATTATTGTTTTAATATTAAGTTATTATTGTCTAATTATAATTGCATAAGTTGATAAAAAATGCTATGCAATAGCTTTACCGCGGCAGTCCCCGAGTGCCACACGTGTTTTTTATTTGTTTTAATCACGTGAACTTGTTTTAATCATATCGAGTTTCTTAAGCCGTGCTTCTCTTACCGTATCGCTGGCCGGCGTCTGTCCCTCCGGTCTATCCTCGCCAAAGTCAGCGACGAGCACTCGAGACTTCTGAGGAATCTCTGCCTCTAGATATATCGACTTGACCTCCTCTGCCTCATGCTGGACACACCATGCGAGGAATATTCGTCAAAAATCGGGGTTTTTAGCACATATGCACAATCACATGAAATTAAAAAAAACCTATAAACATAATAATTTTTTTATTTATTGCTTAGATGGGTGGACGAGCTCACAGCCCACCTGATGTTAACTAGTTACTGGAGCCCATCTACAACGTAAACCACCCACCTTGAGATATAAGTTCTAAGGTCTCAGTATAGTTACAACGGCTGCCCCACCCTTCAAACCGAAACGCATTACTGCTTTACTACACGGCAGAAATAGTGGTGGTTACCTACCCGTGCGGATTCACAAGAGGTCCTACCACCAGTAATACCATTCAAACCTATACAAACTTTAAAATCACGTTACCAAATTTAGTGAGCCTATTTAGAAAACGAATACAGATGGTTCTTACATTGCTCGCAATTTAACACCATTAGGAATGGGCTGGCGTAAGAGGTCAACGGCCTCGAACTGTTTTTGCTTTAGATTACTGCTCCACAAAATAAGAACTTAAAAACGGCACTCGTACCGCCACACACAAATCTAAGGTTATCGTGTCATGTTATACGTTGACTATGAATAAAAGCTACTCTACCCTCAGATTACAATAATTCGAACTTAAGTATTCTGAGAATAACAGGTATTTAATTGGAGCAGTATTAAAATTAAAATATTAAATTTGTTACATCACTACGATATTATTTGAACTAAAATAATAAATTCCATTAAGCATATTAATAATTCTAATTAATATTAGGTCTGGTAGGTTAGTAGAAGTAGTTATTCGAGACATTTTAGTAGAAGAAGAACTGCTCAAATTTGCAGGAACAAAAAACCAAATTTATTTTTATATTTATCTCAAATAACAAAATTAATAATAGTATATATAAATACAACTCAAATGCAATGTAAGCAGGTTTTTTTTTAATTCTACAAATATGTAAATGTCAGAAATTATTAAATAAAAATTACAATAATAATTAATTAGGTTCATCTCTGCACTCCCCTATGGTAGACTGTTACAGAATGCCTATGGCATTAAGTCCGCCTTTATACTTTCTAGTATATTATGAAGTTATAAATAAATAAATAATATTATTGAGCAATTAAGCAGGAATGAATTTTTAAAAATTATCCCTAAGTATATAAATAAATAAAAACATTAAGCTTAATGAGACTTCTAATGTTATTTTATAAGTAATGTTATCACATCACCTAAAACATAATTATTATAGTATGTTTCAGAAATACTGTTATATGTTTGAGTACAAGAATCTAACAGAGATTAAAGTCTAACCATTTACTTGATGTTAGTGATTTAATACCAGACATTCCAGTCAGCCATCATTCAATTATTATTTTTTTACACTTCTAACGTATTAAAGAAATCTGTGCCACCATTTTAGACACAACTTTTTTTATGTAATTAATAATATGAAAATTATATTCGCAAATTTCAGAAATCAGGATTAAACCAAAAAATGAACATTCAACTTTATGTTTGTTGATCGTCTTGGTAATATACTCAAATACCATACCGAGATAGAGCATTACTAGATGATGACCGAGCTTTGCTCGTTTTTTTTTTTGATAACGCCATCTTGTTGTGTCTTTAAAGCGGTTAGTTGCCCTCAATTAAGAAAAATAGTATTATTATTCGCCAATAGATGTCTGGAAGAGTTGATTAATGAAAACACGAATAAAACAACATTTTCTGAAAATAAATCATAGCTAGATCGATTTATCGCCCCCAAAATCCCCTGTATACTAAATTTTATGAAAATCGTTGGAGCCGTTTCCGAGATTCAGATTATATATATATTAATATACAAGAATTGCTCGTTTAAAGTTATAAGATATATGAAAGACTATTTAATTCTTTAGTTTGATTAGATCATTATCATTATCATATAAGGTTTGTACAATATGAACTGTACAGTATGGTCTCACCGGTCGAGCTTGCGTTAGGGGCGAAGGCGCCGGAGTCGGTGTCGCCGGAGGCGAAGGCCTATGCCACGCTCCACCGTCAGCTACGTGTGTTGTTAGCTCCATGCCTACCACCTTTGTTATTGACATGTGACATAAGGTTAGAAACTTCGTGGAGAGGTGGTAATGGTAATAGTAAATAATAATGCATTTGACTTGGTACAGTAAAAACAATAAAGATGCGGGATATTGGAAATGTATTTATTTTAATAAATTTATACTACCAGATGGACAAATGTCATCCATGCCATGAACACTCAATTTTCTAAGAAAATTCTATACCATTGTATTTTATAGTCACAGTAGAAAACTGAAATCGGACAAGTTATATCACATTGGAAAATAAAAATAAGATTTGAAACTCACCTTCACACTTCCGTTGTCTTGTTCCTCTTCCGATTCATCTTTGATGGCTTCCTCCAGAAGATCTTCCGTCTTTTTGTTTTCTTCTAAAGTTTTAGCCTCATTAAGAAAATCTTGTGTTATATTAGAAATATTATCTTTGACTACGTGACCATTTCCAGTCAATTTCAATAGATCATTTTCTTTCTGTTCCACTTCGATTTCTGGTCTCAGCTCTTTTTCGGCGGTTTGTACCTCATCAATAACTTCAGTTTTTCCATCATTAGCTGGCGTTTCTTCATCTTTATCAGTTTCATTTACGAGTGTCGTTGTTTCGTTTGATTTGTCGACTTCTTCTTGCACTGTATCATCTTTTTCCGATGCTGATTCTTTTGGCAGTGAACTTAATCTCAGATCATCTTCATCAGTGGCCGGTTCAGCTGATTGCACATGTTCGGGAATATCATCTGTCGGTTCGGATTTTGGAGGTTCCGACGGTGTCTGTGTTCTTTCAGGGCTGGCTTCTTTTAGTGGGGACGGTTCTTGTTCCCTCTCTTCGGAAGCTTCGCGATATTCACTGGTCACGATATGAACTGGACCGACGTTATGCAAGACGGTGCCATTCGTATAAGACCGAGAGAGATTCTCTGCAGCTTCCTGTGGAGTAACTCTACATTGAAACTAGGCCTAATTCATAGTAATTATTGAACATATGTTTTTTTATGCAAACGAACAACGCTAATCTGATGAAAAAGTTTAAAATTTTTAAATATTTCAATCAGATTGCGTCGATATTGAGTACAAACTGACTATTGACTACACTTCCCTTCCCTTCGTTATTTAATAATTTTCTCGAAATGCTTCTAAACTAATTTCTAAGGTTGCTAAAAGCCAAAATTACAGAAAAAATGAAGCAATAGCCTACAAAACACGATACTGCATTAAAGGAACAAGCACTATATGCTAAATCATTTAGCTTAACTATAATGCCATATTTCCAGATCTATAAAATACTAGTAACAGTTATTTAAAATACATGTCTAACAGTTATGTGTTATAAACTACATCGAGTTTTTCTTTTCTAAATATGTAATAAGTAGAGCGAATTACAACAAAATAAATAACTGTCGTAAGCTTCTGTCAAATGAAATTCAGAGTACAACTTTGGTAAATTTGTAACCTTAGTTTTTTGTACGCTTTACATCGATGGCCCTTTTTTTAGAGATGGCTTAGAAATGTTAACAAGGTATATTAATATCGATTACTTTGTGAAATATATTTTTCTGGTAATGTTAAGTTTGAAGGAACTTAAAATAGTTTTTTTTCAGAAGTCTCATTCTCACTCTCTTTCTTTCCTACTTATTCGCTGGTAGTCTAATGGGTTATTCCAGCTTGGCGCGGACGGGTAGATGAGCTCACAGGCTCAATCTCTGAGAATTTGCCAACAGCTAGCCCTAACAAGAGCAGTGTTTCGCAGAATCTACCACCGGATCGGAATCGCAACCCACTGAGATGATCCGGTGGGAAACTCAATGGGTTGTGTCTGTGGGTTAAGTTGTACAAAGAACCCTTCGTCGCATTCGACGGGTTCGACGAGGACGGCGACCGATGCTTGAGGAGCCTAAGAACACCGAGAGTGAATCCAGGGGTCTGGCAAGACACTCATATATATTATAATACCTGTTATTTTAGTTTAGTTAATTTAATTAAATTAGGAACAGAGGGTAGTACTACGCACAATACAAATTAAAAAAGCACAGAACACATTAGAAAATAAAATTAAATAAACTTGCAATTACTCTCTAATTATTTTTATAAGTTAGATTTATATATAATAATTAAAGATAATTTTTAGATGTAGTTCCTTAGGGTGGTAACATTAACAACTCTTTGGTAACAGATGTGCTGGCAGATGTTGACGAGAGAAAACAACTAATGTCCACTTTAAACAGTATAAAAAAATTAAATAATTATTCATAGCAAAATAATATTTTTCAAAATAAGCTCTCAATGGTGACGCTTAGAATTGGTTAGGAACTGGTAGAGCAAGTGTTTACAAGATTTAACCTAAGCCAACAATAAAAACATAAGTTAAAATCCTCTAAAAATTAAGAATATACAGACAATATCCAATGGTTCGGGTAATATGATAATATATCCAATGAGGTCAGTTCATATTCCGGAAAAGAAAGGCTTTTTCTAATAAGTTACCTTGGACTGAAACGTGGAAGGAATTAATGAAAATACATGTGGCATAATCGGATATTTCTAAATTTAATCAGTTACTAATGCCATAATGTGGGACTGAGGAGAACCTTGTATAGGTTTTGCCATTCTTCATTCTACATTTATCTACAGGGTGCACATAAGACCTTTTAAATTTAATTTTAGACTTAGACCTTGAGTCTTTGGATGAAAAAATCGGACTGCAGGAGCATTATGAGCTATCTAGCTTTTATTTTAAATGCATGTAGGAAAATCAAATACTATAAATTATTGTCCATCGGGGATTTGGGCATTCGCGTGAACTCCTTTGTCCAAGCCACCACTTAAGCCCCATGTTCATATTATAATTCATTTTTATTTATTGCCTTCAAAAGCAGACGAGCATACAACAATTTTATAGCGATTGATGGCCGCCGTTATTTGGGGATTTCAGCAATGCCAGGGGCACCCTAGAAAACTCACTGAGAAAACTTGTGCGAAAGACAATTTTACAGTGTACAGGGAAAACTGTGAAGGAATCGGATTCGACACAGATAGAACAACACAAAATCAGATCTATTGTTTTCAAAAATAGTTACTATGCGAATTCTTTTCTCAAGTCTTTAATTTTTGTTCAAATTGTCTAATTAAATCATATCATAAACCCATAAAGCATGTATAGCTATTTATACAATTATAAATGTAAAATTTGAAGGAGGAATTGAAATCGAATATTATGGGAAAAAATAACACAAAGCCGTTTTTCTATCACATACATGTGCCAAATACCGAATTCTATTGAAAGCAGTTACGGCTTCTGTGCCAAATACGCGCCACTTGATATAATTTGATGCAAATTTATCTCATTTTCTCAATAGAAACTAAAACCGCTATTGTTGTAGCTTTATCATACAGTTTTTCTGCATTACGTTGAAGGAAAGCTCCAAATAAAGCAAAAAACACTGCAAATCCAAATTTAAAGCTGGTTTGGAAAGAAAATGTTATTAGTTAATATATTATGTTGGTCGGGAAATTAGGGGCCAAACAAATATTTAATTGCTGATTGCAAGGACCATTTTTGTTTAAAAAAATTAAATGACATGATTCATATTTTATAAAAAAAATCCCTAATCACTGGTACACTCTGATACGCCATCCTGCTTATTTCGGTGGCTAAACAGCGGTTTCGTTTGAAAGGTTTTTATTGCTTTCAATTGAGTAGGGGACAGTGACTACCGCAATTACGTGTCATAGAATATCTCAACTGTCTGGTTTCCGTAGCAGCTAAAAACAATTAGAATTATTGTAATATTAAATTTACAAAATATGTGACTGTATTTGAAATGACGTGGATGGAAGCAAAAAAAGAATAGGAAATGCAAAAAAAACCACAAAGATAAGTTGTAGATCAGCAATGAATCCATACATTAAATATGGCTTTTGAATATAAAAAACGACTTTTATAGATTCTTATATTATAACAGTATGATTGCATAGAAGCACTATCGGTCTACAAAATCGACTATTGTTTTAAACTAACTTTCATTAATTTCCAAAAGTGAACTGGGCATCATTATGGTCACTACTGAATTCAGCCAGTCTTATGATTCTTATGAATCTGGGGTGACCATGTGCCTGCAGGGTCATGATCGAAAACCTCAGTTCGATAAATTCTATTCCCAATATTAAAAAATTATAATGGTTGGAATGCTTTCGAAGCCATATTTAATGTATAGGATAAGCAAGATGTTCCACGAGACATGCTTTTGACCTGTCGCTGCTGATTGTTTGCTTCACTCGCCTCCATCTGGTCCTGCACTTCGGCTACCAATCCCGATATTGCCGTAACAACTGCGTCCGTAATTAATGCCATTAATATTTAAATTTCATAATAACTGATGGATATCGCAAAGTTGATTTTTACAAAAGCAGACTCGTCAACAATAATAGTTACACTTTTCAGATTAAGTAATCAAATATATCGGCCATTTTTATTTGGGGTCAAATTTGAAACGAAAATCCTTTGTAATTTAATTGTTGTGCCTGACCGAGACCGTTATGTATTACAAATTTACAAGGCACAATTTCAATTACCAAAAAATACCATAATATCCCTGTTCCCCAATTATTTCCACAAAATAGTGGCAATTCATCTTCAACATTTTGATTTGATTTCCTTAGTTTTATCTTGACCACATTAGCTACAGTTAGCTTCATTTTTATATTTTAATTACGCGGGTTTAAGTTTGGATATCAATATAACCTCTTTAAACTTTAAGCTTATGCGTTATAACTTTTTTTCATAACAAAAAAATGGTAAAACGTATATTCAATCAAAAATAGAAATTATCAAAACAAATAATGAAGGACGCGCACACTAAAATAGAATAGATGCATCAGACGGCATGCTCCAACAGTTGGACCTGGGCCAAGTGTCGGTTAGTTACGACTACATATGTACACTTTAAGGGTTTTATCATTATTTTAAATCTGTTAAGGTTCTATGATTAATTAATTTTTCATATGTACCTAGGTGCGATACATATTTTTTGTTTAGAGTTGAGTATACTCAATTTAGAAGTAGGCCATGTTTTTTAATCATTATTATTACGTAAATACTTCGAATAAAAACACTTTGGATAACCCCTAGTATGTAATGTATTCTCAAAACTAAATCCATATACACAATTTTTACAAAAGTACACGGGTATTTCTTTAGAGGAATATAGTAAAATATAATCTATACAATCTAATTCCAAACTAAGACGTTTTAATTTGAAATCGACATGAATATATAATTCATTTGCATTAAATGTGCTTTTATATTCGTTATAATTATTTTCTTGAGATGTATTTATAGATTCACTCTTAATAGGTTGTTAGCGATCACAAGTCACTCTAACCATCAACTTTCTTTGAAAAAAAAAACCACGTAAAGTTAAATATGAACCAACTTCAAAATGGAGGAAACTTTTTAAATTAATTATATATAGTTCATTTATTATTTCATTGTCATTCTCACTACTATAGCAGTGGATGAATCTATTTCTTTGGTTCACATTTCAATATTTGTACCTCAAACTGTTTTGATATTAAAGAGGATTACGTGCAAATACTAATCGCAACCAAACCAAGAACAGAGCAACCGACACCATGCCACAAGCGGCTACGTACATCTATCACTCTATCACGGAACGCAAATGAATGACTTTGAGTGTCATAGCGAACATAATTCCGGGGACTGGAAATTCGAAGGTCATATTTTCAATGTATATCTAGACGATATTATATTCATTTCCAAGAAATTTCTTTCCATTTATAAATCAGTGTTGCGAAATAGCAAAAGGCAAAACAATAGCAACGGGACCAATTTCTCTCGAATCAACAAGTAAATCTGTTTTAGGAAAATTCATATTCAATTATTTATATTAACGTAAAAACAAACTATTTACCATCATGGCATATCACAGTCGAAATAATTCCGTTTCTAAATAGTATATAGTCTGTCTATAATCTAACTCTAAGCTAAATTTTTCCCAGTCCCCGACAGTTCACCACCCACTACAGTCGAATACCGCATCGCGTTGCGCTAGTTGGCCGACAATCCTTTGCATCGTTCTTTCGGTTTCGGCCAAACGTGCACGGAGCGCCTCCAGTTCCACGTCCCCTAATGAATTTACAGATCACTACGTCTATATAAAGACCATTTTTTCTTATAGTATTGTCATTGTCATTGTCAATAGTATTCCATATACTATTGACAATGACATCCTCAGTAGTGGACTGATCTCTAATTATGCTTTGCAAAATTTAGTACACCCATTGTTTTTGATACGTAACCATTTATTGATCCTAACCAAACAGCCAACTTATATTAATGAAATTAAAGAAAGAGTACAAATCTATTCAGACTTAATACTGAGATTTTTTTGTACCGAGTTTTTTCTTTTGGATTTTTTTCATTTAAACTCAAAATAATTTCAAAAACTTACTTGCGTCCCGTTCCTTTGGTCCTGCATGCGGTAAACGTGCCATTTAAATATTTCTATGTATTTAAATACGAGACCCTCATACATGACTATTGAATAGCTAAAAGAATAGAATAATTTTCAAAGAAACTACTGTTCATACCGTCAACGAGACGAATGTACACTTACCAAGTTTATCGGGAGACGTTCTGGAATCGTCACGGAATACGCGCCGCCTGAAGCAAGGGTCTGGGCGGACTGGCTCATAGGGGGTACCAGCTCGCTTGAATAAGATCTAAAAATATGAGAAAATACGATACTTGAGGAAAATACGTAGCCTGCTAACCAAAAACGCTAATGTCAATTCGGGCTTGCTTATGCTTTATCTTGGGGTGAACATACGATGAACTCGCTTATATTCATCGGCATACCAAAAATGTGGTCAATAACGACTTTGAGGATAAAAGTATACATATCGTGTACAAAATTTATAATTTCCGTAATTAGTTGTTGTAGAGCGTATTGTGAGGGTTATATGGGCAGGTACCACCAATTGGCTATATCATATAAATGATACCTCGCCATCATGTCTAAGCTTGGGTGACGATATACACGCTGGGAAGTCTATGAGTTACGGTAATGAACACTATTATAGAATTATACATACAAATCGAATCAAAGATGGAGAGACAGCCTGCAGATCAGAAATATAGGACTTTGAACCCAGGACAGACTTCAGCTCTTTTAAGGGCTAATAAATAAAGAGAACCATATCTTTAAGAGGGAAATAAATATTATTATTAATAGCATACAAGTATTCTGAAGTAAGTACCAGCCACCTCGAGCTACTAATACTCCCATTATTCCTTCGTCCTCCTCCATCATTCATCATCACCAAACTTTATTTTATTCAGCAGGATTGTTCAGCTTTGCCTATTCGCCAACTGCCTTGCCTATCTCTGTCGCGAAGCCAGCTTTTGTTCCGGTTTGAGTGGGATGCTGTTATTCTATGGGCTGTGGGCCGAAATGTTGCTAGTATGCTAAATGTCCTTACCTTACTCAGAGTGTAGACGAAGAAGACCACAATGCAAACCGTGTATATTGGCATTATAAAGCCCATCGAAGTCTTAGGAGCTGCAACGGGACCTCCCGGCGAACCCAATGGCGGACGCATTCCTGGTATCGGCGGAGGCTGTGTTGTGACAAAAGTATTATGTTAGTTATAAGCTTAAAACAAGCTTAAAGTTTTACCGAGACATTCACGATTTGACAAAGTTTATTTTGCCATTTTCTGAGATATCCAACATTTTACAACTTTTGATGTCAAGTCCATAGACAGCGTGGTTATCCACTTTGAGATATACGATCGAAGTCTCGATTGTGTTTCCAATCTTCAAACTGAGGCTTATGACTGCTTTCCGGAGAAATAAGCACAATGGTGCTTCTTACCTATCTACCACAGTACCTAATCAAGTTTCAAGAGCCTCTCTTACTGAAATAAAACCACCGGATCATTCTACAGCTTGATCGACGTATTTGGGAAATAGATTTTCACCGGTTTTAATATTGTTATAATACAATTTGTTTATATTCATTATTTTTTATTCGAAGACACCACATTTATGGAAACATAATGTCACTCACGCATACAGAATCTAACTCTTGTAATGATATGTAAAACCCATCTATCCAGGCGTTTAGGACACTGATGTATATATAATAATATTACGTACATATGAGTATAGTACATGTATGTTACAGTACAATAGTCGTCTCCTTAATATGCGGGATAGGGCTTCTATCTACAGTACCGTAGGTTTTAGATTCTCTATCGGATCCAGTGCCTTTGTTAAATTTTTCAGGGGATAAGCTTACTGGCTCTTCCCCTCAAATACACTTGAGGCAAGACCTAATAAAATCTAAGTCGTTGAATCTGGATTGTTTATTATTGGACATGCGGTCGACAAATATTATCTTCCTCTAGGGAGGTAGTTATAAATGAGTTGTTAATAAAACACTTCAAATCAATGTATTAGTAATTCAAAACACAAAAGATATACATACAAGTTAGGTATATTAATGTTAAAATGATTAAATCCTTAATTATTGTTTTCGAACTGGCCATTATATGATAAAGTTGATTTTACAAACAATATAACGCCATCTGTTTTGAGCAGATATTTTTGTAATGGCGATATGTTAATATTTCGAATTGGTTGCATTAACATTAATTGAAAAAAGAAAATTAGGTACAAACTCGAGACCTCAGTTTCTTTATTAACAACATTGTCTGTTGATGAAACTATTGGATGGTTTCCCAAAAATAAATTTACTGAATAATTTGCAACAAGTTTCACGCCACTAATAAAACTTAATCGGTCTTATTACCTAAATACAAATTCACATATCTATTCTTTGCTCAAATAATTATACATGTCATCATATTAAATTACAAATCCTCTCTTGTCAAATTGATCTTAAGCTACACTTTTCACATTTTTCCTTTATCTTTAACTAAAATTTTCTCTTCAATTGACTACTAATTAAATCAATTAATATGAAGAATTTTCGTCCAAAAAAAAAGCATTAGTAGAATCTTTAACTTAATTTATAATTCATAAACTGTGTTTGGTACATCATCGAGTACTATACATAAATCGCGATAAAATTCATTCATATCCCCCCTACCTTAATGGATTTTTCTTTCATCTTCACGTATCAAAACTTTTTGCACAACTATAAATAATATATCAATTTATGCATTCAAAATGATGAGACCAAAACATGTAGTGTTACGATGGTCCCAAACAAACTGAACGGAATCGGGCAGGGTATGACGAAGCTGTGCAGAGTCGCGGTTTGATCATTTCCTGTGTTTATACGCAGTTTAGACAGACGCACACGACTGTTTCGTTGGAAGAGATATTTTTATCGTGACGTCATTTGATACAGTATCATTCTTGCGCAGGTCGTCGTGGCCTAAAGGATAAGACGTCCGGTGCATTCGTATGTAGCGATGCACCGGTGTTCGAATCCCGCAGGCGGGTACCAATTTTTCTAATGAAATACGTACTCAACAAATATTCACGATTGACTTCCACGGTGAAGGAATAACATCGTGTAATAAAAATCAAACCCCCAATTTTAATTTGCGTAATTACTGGTGGTTGGATCTCTTGTGAGTCCGCGCGAGTAGGTACTACTACCCTGCCTATTTCTACCGTGAAGCAGTAATACGTTTCGGTTTGAAGGGTGGGGCAGCCGTTGTAACTATACTTGAGACATTAGAACTTATATCTCAAGGTGGGTGACATTTACGTCGTAGATGTCTATGGGCTCCAGTAACCACTTAACATCAAGCAGACTGTGAGATCGCCTAACACATATAAGCAATATAAAAAAAAAGTACTAATATTTTTCCTACTTTTCAATTGGTTATTTATACCAAAGTGTACCATTAAATTTCAAAAATAAATCTTTATTGCTGTTGGATTTTAACTTATTTAACCAAAAACGTAAAATGTTAATAATATAGGTAAGAAAACTATAAACGAATTTAAACTAAAACATATTCTCGGAATTCGGCTTATCTCTCCTCTTAACAGTTTGTCTTTCGACAAAGGCCTCTAATGATTTCCATTCGTTTCAAAATATGTACCATTATCAGTTTTTAAAGTTGAAGGGTTTCGGTATTAACACCGGAATATATTATTTAAGATATTAAACATATTAACATTTAGATCGTGCAACCAAACTGTCCAATGCCATTTTCCTCCCCTGTATCTAATACCTGTTTATAGTTAACTTCTAAAATTCATATATCTGACAAAAATAACTATTTGGTCAAAAGGCCAAATTAATGACCTCGAAATGGTTTCTCATTCTCGATGGACTGATGGATTTTTGAGGGGTTTGAAAACTGAAACACATGTCTAAGTAAAAAATAAAAGATAAGATTAGTATCTAGCCACGCTGCTTTCATGGTTTTTTTTATTGCTTAAATAGGTGGACGAGCTCACAGCCCACCTGATGTTAAGTGGTTACTGGAGTCCATAGACATCCACAACGTAAATGCGCCACCCACCTTGAGATATAAGTTCTAAGTTCTCAAGTACAGTTACAACGGCTGCCCCACCCTTCAGACCGAAACGCATTACTGCTTCACGGCAGAAATAAGCGGGGTGGTGGTACCTACCCGTGCGGACTCACAAAAGGTCCTACCACCAGTGTCCTACAACCGATTTTCATTTTTACTATTTTGTTGCAAACCCCTAAAAATTATATTATCCAGAATCGTCTCTTTGAACTCTCTCTTTGCGTGGTTAACTAAAGGAACATTTCGAGAGGTGAGAAGCTTTTTCGTTTAAGCGACATTTCGCTTAAGACGCGACATTTATCTTTGTAATTAAAAGTCACTTTTATTTGGTATCAACATCAACAATTCGATGTTGTTAATTAATTGATCTTCAATCAAATAGCTGAAGAAGTTTCTTTGCTATGATATTCTTTTCAAATTTTAGACTCGCTCGTTGTAAAATTAATAAAATGTCGCTTAAACCAAATAATAGGTTTTCAACGCTCGATATATGAGTCGTCTATTATCAAAGGTGGCAATCTGTGAATTTGGACAAAAAAAAATTATTGATATGTCAATTCAGATTGATTTGAATATAATCGTCTCTTTCAAAGAATACGGTTCAAAACCTGCATTAAATAAAGGTTAATACTTAACCTGTTATTTATCTAAGATGTCGATCAGAAGAGTTTTGTGACTGCCAATGGAATACAAAGTCAATAATTCGTTTTTCTGATTTACCAATAATTGTCCAAAAGTCACATTGCCGGCTTTGATAATAGTCGACTCATATGTACTTCCATCGCATTAATAAATAATACGCAACGAAATTTATATTATTATAACATTTCACAAAAAGTGATAAGTTTATCGACTATTTTACTTTGTTTAATTTTTTTATTACAAGTTGATTCTTCGAAAACAATTATAATTTGTAATGTACCTATGTTTGTAATCAAATATATGTATAGACTTTCATAAGTCTCATCTAAGAGCGAGCGGTCGAATGAGTGGGATAACTGTGCGCGCCGTGTCAAAAGGGATCCAGTTTATTATCAATCAGACAGTTTACTTTGGAATGGTATTAGATTTTAAAATATTAATGAATGAAATTGTTTATAGCACAATATTAACGTGAAATTATACGGTAAAATGTGTTCCAATCGCGTTTGGCAAAAACCTTACTATAGTTTTTTTTAATTATTTTACTATATTTTTATTGCTTTGAAATTAATTTGCCCTATTTTCAGTTTGTCACAATACGTAAAAGGCAACGATAACGATTTGAATAGTATTTGTTTGAGAATAGATCTTCCAACATATACTTAGTTCTCAAACTACATACATAATGTACATAAATGTAGCAAATGTGTTGCATTTTAAACTTTTTTTCGGCCTAAGTTATTAGCTTTTAGAGGCCATTTCAGCGAACCCTAACAAGTAGCTGAGCTCACGAGGCTCAAACCTGATGACGTTGCTAGCACTAACCCTAACAAGAGCAGTGCTTCGCAGAATCTACCACCGAATCGGAAACGCGAACCACTGATAAAATCCGACGAGAAACTCAGTGTCTGTGGGTTAATTTACTTGCCGAGTCCTTCGTCGCAAGCGACAGGTTCGACGAGCACGATAACCGGTGCTTGAGTTACCTAAAAAAGCATCGTTAGTGGATCGGGAGGAGCATTTTAAACGCAAGTTACAGGAAATTATATACTAATTTGATTTATATATGGCATCAAATTGAGATTTCGTATTCACTAAAGATTATGTCGGAATCCACGTCTTCTATAAGCTACAGCTATGATTCCATCGGCCTAATTGACGCAAATTAAAACCCCTAATAGCAACTAAGTTCTAAAATTTTCCAGAATTTCTCTAAATTGAAACGGCTGTCTGGAAGAGATTGCTTTTAGTGATAAGACCGTCTATTGTACAAATCTATCTGCTTTTTGACTGCTTTTTGAATGTAAATTGTATTTTGGTGTGCAATAAAGTGTATTCTCTATCACTCTCTACGTCAAAAGCGCGGTTTGCATCACGGACATGTGTTTGCACTGTGCAACGGACACGCGTTATTTCGGCACGCCGGTTCGTGTCTAGGCCGGCGTAACTGGGAC